AATAATTGATTAAAAGTAGGCAAACAAGAAGTGATCTTATTAAAACATATTATAATAATATAACAAATCATATATTAAAGTCCGGCACTGTGATTGCTCTCCTCTGAATTCTTTTGATGTTGTTTTAAAAGTGAAATAGTCTAATCAACAAGTTCAAAAGCGTGTTTTTGGGACATACTATTACGAAAATTATGTTCAATAGCTCATTCGATTCGGAATAATGTCTAGATCAATGTGTGAAGAAAAATTTTGCAGTGCATAAAACATTGCAAAAGTTATAAACAATTAAACACCTCAAAAACATGGTGTTTGGTTTTTCGCCTATAGTTTGTAAACTATAAATATTTTTGGATTTTTCGAAAAATATCCTTAAAGAGGAGAAAACGACTTAGTGCATTAAAATTACGGAAAAAATATTATTCCATTTTTTATTAAACTTTGAAAATATACGTACTATCAAAGTTGCAGCAGCTGATCCATTTGTTGACTTAAAAGTTGATATAACTTTTAAACTATTGGAGATACGACAATAAACATTCAAGTCATTTTTGTAGGCAATGAAATTATCTCTCAGATAAGTCATTTGTCAATTCCGTACCTATTGTCAATTTGTTGTTTTTTATATTTGTTTATAAAAATTTATTTTTTTTAAGTTTAATAAAAAATGGAATAAAATTTTTTCCGGAATTTTTATTTCTTTCAGGAAAAAAATAAACCAAAGTTGGGAATTTGTTTATAACAAATTGTTAACTTAATAAACAATGGAATTATTAATAAAAAAAATTTTTTTTGCTGTCACTTTGTAGAGGACTGTAAATTATGATTTAAAAAAAAACACATTTCCTAACTAATAATTTAAACAATAGATATATTAAAAAAACGATTATAAACAATTAAAAATTAATATTAAGAAAAAATAAATTTTTTTAATCATAATTGGCAATTGTCTAGAAAGTTGTAAAAAAAAAATTTTTTAAAAATTGAAATACTCCATTTGTTTATGAAAAATGTATAAACAAATGGAGGAAAAAATTTTTTTTTTAATTAATAAATGTCTTTTCTCGACATTAAAACAGTAATATAATAAATTGTAAAAAAAAAAAATTTTATAGCACCACTGTAACTTTTCTGTTTTTGTAAACTTTAAAAAATTATTATAAACAAAGTATTAACATTTTTTAAACTTTTATGAAGCTATTTTGTTTTATATGTATATAAAAAGAGCTCCACGAAGCAAAAAAAATTTACGGTAATTATTTAATATTTTTATCAATTTGTAATGATGAGAGAAATTCTAAAAATTTTGTTAATTAACAATAACCTACTTTGTTGGAAAATAAATTTTTATGAAAAATTCCAACGGGAATGAATTCTTTTAAGTGTTTAGAATACACCGTAATTTTTTAAAATTTTTGATTTTATTAACTTAAAAAAATTATTTTATGTAACGTACTCGGTTTCGACGCCGTGCACGCAACCTAAAGATGGCGCGCGGAAGGCTACTTTAAGCGTTAAATTAAAATTATAAATAATAGAGGTACAATTCCTGGAGTCGAAACTTATTTATAGTAAATTTCCTCCTCTTTAAGGATCTTTTTTGAAAAATCCAAAAATATTTATAGTTTACAAACTATAGGCGAAAAACCAAACACCATGTTTTTGAGGTGTTTAATTGTTTATAACTTTTGCAATGTTTTATGCACTGCAAAATTTTTCTTCACACATTGATCTAGACATTATTCCGAATCGAATGAGCTATTGAACATAATTTTCGTAATAGTATGTCCCAAAAACACGCTTTTGAACTTGTTGATTAGACTAAAACAGCAGAAAATAAAATTAACTCAAACTGTACCGTTGAATATATGTTTTATCTAAAATTCGTAATATCTGTTAATTCAATTATACTCGTATAAAGTTTGTCTACTTAAGTCGGCACATATTGGAAACTTTTTTATTAATATTTTTTATGTAAAAACTATTTTTGTTTGTATATTTGTTATTTTTTTTTTAAATAATAAATAAATTATATAAACTGTATGTTTTGTACATACAGTCTATTCGCTATATTAAGTATTTGTTAAAATAAAAATAATAATTCCGTTTCATTTGTTATTAAATATTTATAGTCAGGTGCATTCTTTAGGAAAGTCTTTATGTCTTCAGGCGAAAAAATTTTGGATTTTTGGCTTTTAAAACCATCAGATTTTCTTTTCAAAAGCGAACGTAACTTTGGATATTTACTAATATCGACATCATTTTTAACAGAGAGTGTAGTTTTTAGCATCGAATAAATGGACCATAACGTCGACGGTTTAAAATTTGAATATATTTCTCCAAAGTATGCTAGTAGTACAGTTTCCGAAAATGATTTCACTTTATTTTTTTCTCTCCAGTCCAAAAATTTGATATAAATCTCTTCATATCTCTTTTTTGATTTGGCCGGTAATAAATCTGAAGAGATTTCTTCAACTTTAAAAATAATTTCTGGGGGAGTACAATCGCTTTCTGACTCAGACATCATGAAAATGTGTTAAATTTAGGACGAACTGAAACTGACAGTTCTCAAAAGTGATAAAACTTCAAATAAACAAATTAAAACCAGGAAACTAGATGTAGATTGGTTTAATTTGCACTATTTTTATACATTTTTATTTTATCTTTAATTCATTAAAGTTTAGGTAAAAACGCATATAGAATTTAATGAGCATCTTTTTATTTCATTATTAATAATTATAAGCTGCCAAAATATTATACGAGGCGACTGATATATGAAAATATGTAACAACTTACTTTCGTCACTAGAGACGAAAGTAAACGTCATGGGATTTTTTCTCACTAGTGACGGAAATCAAGTTTTCGCTGAAAGTATCCTGTGACGAAAGATGTCTTCTTGTAAGAGTTCGTAGAAAAAAGTATTATCAGACATATACTATAGAATACATGCATCGTAGGCACCTTATATAACCGTTTTTGAACACAAATGTGAAAAATATGATATAAAAAGCAGATATCGATGGTTTTCCATTTTGGAAAGAATCTTGTTGAGATATAGCATATATTTAATTTAAAGGCACCAACTAAAAGCAAACAATAATTTCAATCAGTCTTTAAACTTCAGGCGCCTACTTTTAAATAGCGACTGAAGAAAACCAAGCTAGAGAAAGAGCAGGAGAAATAAAAAAAACCCAAAGGACGAACCAACAAGTATTCAGAAAAACAGAGAGGGGAGAAGGAGATTACTTTCTGGCATGGAACGAACATCTCATTCACATCTTATTTCAAATCGAGATATAAAAATCTGATGTGTCCAACACATGACTTTCCTATCTAGTTATTATAGGCATTTTCCGGTTATTTTATACAACCTATTGCAGCATCTCTATAAATGTTTAGAGGATAAACTAAATATATACATTTTACACATACATCTACCTCGAAACATTTTTTTATAGATATTCATTGAAAACGAAAATACAGAAAAATTTAAATTTAGCACTTTTCCATTACGGTCCATTTTAGAAAAATCATGTATAAACAAAAATTATAGAAATCGATATCGCAAACAACTTTTAGTTCAACAATTTTCATAAAAATCAGAATTTTGCACATTTTGTCAAATTTCTCGAATACGGACCATTTCAGAAAATTTTGACATAAAGCAAAAATTATAGATAAAAATATTAGAAGTAACTTTTATTTGAACAATTTTCTTCTCCAAACATAAATAACAGATATATTCCATAAAATATAAAAACGGCCTCCCATAAAGTACCCCCCCAGATGTTCCGACTTTGTCCAAAATCTAATCATTTCACGTCAGGCCGAAATAAACCTTAAGTTTAAAATTTAATGTTTTTTCCTTTATCCGTTTTTGAGTTTTCTTCAAATTTCGAAATTTACACATTTTCTCAAATATCTCGAATACGGTCCATTTTAGAGAAATTATGTATAGGACAAAAATTATAGAGAATTATATTACAAACAACTTTTATTTGAACAATTTTTAAAAAAAAATATTTTTTTTACATTTTGTCAAATTTCTCGAATACGGACCATTTTAAGAAAATTTTGCATGAAACAAAAATTATAGATAATTATATTAGAAGTAACTTTTATTTGAAAAATTTTCTTCTCCAAACGTAAATAACAGATATATTCCATAAAATATAAAAATGACCACCTATAAAGTACCCCCCCAGATGTTCCGACTCTGCCCAAAATCTAATCAGCTCATTGGACGCTGAAACAAAGCTTAAGTTTAAAATTTGGTGTTTTTCTGTGTATCGGTTCATGAGTTATGCGTTATACAGACACACACACACACACACAGACACACAGACACACACACACACACACACACACACACACACACACACACACACACACACACACACACACACACACACACACACACACACACACACACACACACACACACACACACAGACATCATCGCGAAAATAGTCAAAACGGATTCAGGGGACCTCAAAACGTAAAAATCCGTCGAAAACTCGAGGTCGAAAAAAATCATGATTCCTATACTTTCCTTATATCTGTATACAGATAGGAAAGTAAAAAAGGGTAATCTGGATCACGGAACTATTATTAAACTGGAAGAACAAAGCAGATCAACAAAATCAAGCCGCATAGCAAGGTGATATTTGACACTTTGGCGCACACATGTGCGTATCGAAATGCACTAAAAAGGATCATCAAAATTAAATTTAATATTTATTACATTCAACTGACACCTTTTAATTTAAGAAAATCACTTAAAAATTATTTTTGATTAATACGCAGCTGAAACAAATGATCCAATAATAACTATTATTAAAATAGCGCGTTATTAATAAAAAATAATATAATTTGTCGTAGTACGCCCATTGTAAACGTGTCGTAGAATGTTCGAAATTGACAGTCTGGCGTCCAAATTGTTATGCGCACCGACCGTTTTTTTTTACCCATGTCGGCTTAGAAATTAGGAGTAGGGTTTATGTCATATAGCCATCCAGTTTAATATCAAGGTCGGTGATCTGGATAGCTACATCTGGGATAAACAAACGCATATTGCTGCGTTTGAGAATCCACATCGGATGCATCTGAGATGTAAAAAATCTTTGATCACGTGGTTCAGTATACGTAAAAGTAATGGGACAGATGTGTCCGATGTGGATAAAAAAACGCTCGAGATGTAAAAAATGCATCCGATGTGGATTCTCAAACGCAGCATATGTAGATGTAGTAGATGTGTCCAATGTGGATAAGCAAACGTCGAGATGTAAAAAATGCATCCGATGTTGATAAAAGGTGTTGTAGTTGAATTTAATAACTGTGGACGCCACTATGTCAAATACCATCTCACTATGTGATTTTGTTGATCGGCTTTGCGCTTCCAGTTTATTAATGAGTTCAGTGGTCACGTAGCGCGTGATAACATTCATAATTTACCGGTATAGTACGACGATTGTACGTGAACAGGGAAGAATTACCCTCTCCAGTATTTTATTCAAGTATAGCATGCTATATTTTTGGACTTCTAATTCGAAACAAAAAATAATAATTTACACGAATAAGTCGAATAACTCTGAAACGCAAAAAAGGTAATAGTCGAGAATTGTAAACCATAAAATATTTACCTAATTAAACTATTTAGCCATGCATTACAGAAATCGTAATAAAAAACGAAAAATATTTTTTTTAATTATTTTACGTACCTATTAATATCATTTCAATATTCAATATCCAAAATTAATTATTTTTTTTTCGAAAAACGTACTTTATCATGCTGATAAGTTTATTAAATAAACTTCATATTTGGTAAATACTACGAATTCGCATATAAATTACTAATTATTTATTAAAATTATTTTGTTACTTCAGAATGTTCATGATGAACGGGTCTAGATAGTGGTATATTTGGACGTCCTACAAAGCCAGTGATATAAATTTAATTAGGTGAGTAAATAATAAATATTCGGATAAGAAACTTATCTACGAAAGTTAGGAGAAAACTTTGAATCTTTGCTAAAATGAAATATAAAGCAGAAAAAATTAATTTCCTTTATTATAGTTTTTTTGGATTACTTTTACATCGCCATCTTTAGAAAGAAGTTTTGTAAGTGGTTCTATAGTCAGTTTACGAAAATATCAATTGCTTGAAGAATAATAATTACAATTTTTTTCTATTCATGCCTTCATATGAATATGTTGCAGTTTCTCAGTAACAATCAAGGTCCACAATTAATTTTTTTCTTCAAGAAAATGTAATAAAAAGGTTTTTTCCTGTATATTTTACATAGCACCCATTTTTAAAGATTCCTCACATAAAATAATATTCTAAACCAACAAACACAGGTAAATTTTTTGAAAAAAAAAATCATAAAAGCTAATAGAATAATTGTGGCTCAAAATGATTACTCGGAGATCATTTGAACACCAGGGGATATAAATTACTGCACCTTGCAATTATTTCATGGCCACCCATTAAAACATTTTAGTTGTAACGATACTGGAGAGTGCGGTGTTGAGTGTGACAGGTTTTTTTATTGTTTTCTATGAATATTTTTAAAAACTTTTATGGAACTTATTGCTGATGGTATGTAGAATCCTGTAAAGTTTAAACATTATATCCTTCTACATTTAATTTTTCTTTTTATTAATAATATTTCTATGACTTAAATTAACAGAAAAATGTATTTTAAGATATTTGAATTTGGAGTCCTTTTTTTAAAGAGTAGATTGTTTAATTTAGTTGAATCATGATATTAAATTTGTATTATAGAAAATTGACGGCATAATTTCTTAGGCAACACTAGGACCTTCTTATATTAAATACTTAACGTTGACGTTATAAACTCATCTTATCGGTATAAAAAAGTAAAACATTAATAAAATTGCAAATAAAATTTGAAGTGCAAAACTTTATTTATTGGCCAGCTAATAGGTTATAATAGCAACAAAATACTTCAACAAAATAATAAACAAACAAAAATATTACCTTTGAAATAAAAATAGACAATTTATAATTGGAAATACAAAACAACAGTATTTACTCAGAAAATATAATCTAATAAAAAAAGTACTAAAGCATAAATGTGAAACGAAAAGTATATAAATCAATCTACAAAGACTACCTAATAATTAATTATAACAAAACTTTTTTGGTTTTTTGAGAATCAAATTTGTCAATAATTTCGGTGAAAATAATTTTTTCAGAGATTTCAGATTCAATACAGATTATGGCCATATCTGAAAGCCTTTCTTATGTTGTATTGTTTCTGAAGTATCTAATTTATAATAATTTTTAAATCACTGAAATAGAGAGATAAATTACATTTTCTTTTACACTTTTATATAATAATTATTTTATTTAGAATTCACGAAACACCTATTACTGTTTAGTTTTAGAATTTTTTACAGTTTTGACACAAGCCTACTCTACATTAATTATAATTATTGTTAGTTTCGTTATGTCAAATCATTATTTATACTAGAGGTGTGGGGAAAAGTCAGTGAACTGTGGAACGCCAATATCGTTGGGTGCGCGGTGGTAGAAATGGTCCTCTAATGCTGCTAAAAACATAGCTAAATTTTCATGAAAACACTGTACTTTTGACATTTGCGATACTCCGACACATACGTATTATTGATGTAATCTCATGATTTTACAGTATTAGTTTTTGCAATTTTAGTGTGATTTTAAGGTTATTACGGTTATTCGTTTTGTTTAGTTCTGATCTTTTGCGCTTTTGGAGTATCTTTCTTTTATAGTTATAGTTTTTAATTTGAATTTTAATTGTGTGGTCTATTTATATTTGATTGCTGCTATTCGATTAGTGCTTTATTCTTTTTGTGTTAAAATAAGCTTCATAACCATTAAGTATATGCTTCTAGTAGATATCTACCTAATCGTCATCGAGTTCTTGCAACAATGGGAAAAAGTGTACGGTTTTTTGGTGTAAAAGTCAGACGCCTTCATTTTTCAGGTAAGGATGATTAGTTATTTTTTACCAAAAAGAATAGCAATACGTCCTGGTTCGGGGTGCGACTGTTGTAAATATTTTAGTTATGTTAGAAATATATGATACATTGTATTGACCTACTGGCAACTGGCCATTCAAGTTTTACTCCCTTTTTTCATAAATTGTCAAATTGTTTAAAAACAAATACATACCTAGCTATTTTCTGTAAATGACATTAAAAATGTAAAAAAACGTATTTCTCATATATTAAATTGTTATTAACGTTAAACAATACTTTTAATTTATTAAAACAAAAATAAAGATTTAAAAACAAATACATGAAATGGGCAAAATAGGCCTGCAAAGGCACTTTGTGTGTAATTTCATCTGTATCGATGTGACGTAATGGGCAAATTCAATTTGGCTTACTTTTGTTAATATAGACTGGCGTTCTATTTAAAATATGCAGTTCACTGGGAAAAGATTATTTAAATAATACACGGACCGGGAAAACAAGTACGAAAAAAATTCACTTGCTCCTGGACTAGTACTGTATCGAAGGAATTTTATGAATGAAACAAATTACGACCCTACTTACAAATACTACAATAAAGGTCTAGTCTAGTTGTCAGACGTAAATTTTTTTGGATAATTTAAAGACTTAACAGTATTGCAAGCAAACGTAATTACATTACTACAGTTAAAAACATCGCAAACTTGGCATTAATGTTTTATTCAAATATTGCATTTCTGCCGAGGATCATCCGCGTTGACTTCAGAAATTTTGTAAATAATCCTGTCTGTCTAGGTTATTTCTATGGTGTATACCGTCTATATCTTTCACAATACTTTTTTGTACCTATCTATAACTTAATATCTAACTCCCTGCAGGCTTTCATGAAATCATCACAGAAATGTTGTGAAACTCATACAGAAAGCAGAATATTGAATATCGGTCGGATGATAAAGCAAATCTTTCATTTACCGAAGAGATCGCGTGATCAAGAATTGCAAAATAGAAAGCAGTCTTGAATTGCTAGAAGGAATTTGAAACTGGTTCATCACGGGCCTCGTAATCAAGTAAACGGACCTGTCCCCTAACCTTCGAATTGGGAAATTCGGGATCAATACCTAAATCTCTAGCAAGTGTTGTTGCTTAATCGACAAATATTTTAAAATTATCGTCAGATCTTGCAGAAACTAAATATTTTTTAAGATTGTCTACGCATTCAATGCATTTTGCGATGTTTAATTTAGGATTTGGAAGCATTTTACTCAATATATCAATTCTTGATTATTAATCATGGCAAATTAAAATTGAACACAAAATTTTAAATGTTTTAAAACTTTTAATTATTGATTTTATCCATTTTTATTTTCGTGTCTCAAGTGGTTTCTTCAATTACTGCATTTAATGCAGTAATAATGTTTTTTAGATCTTATCTTAGAAGTCTAATAGCATGGATACGACTTTCTCACCTTATTTCACTTAACGGTTTTAAAGTTAGACTTTTCACGTTATTTTTTTAGTAAATCGCATCGATATGGAGACACAGAAAAGCAATTACCATATCAAAAAATAAACAGAAATTTCACCACTGGAGCTGGCAACGTCATTAACGACGAGATTAATGTATGAGCCGCACACGGCACGTATAATGCTCTAGGATTGATGTCGAGAATCCCTTTCTGAAGCCCTATATTTTTCCCTCGCATGTTAGATCATTATCATAGCTCTGACCCCGTATATATTTAACTTTGAGCTATAGACTAGGTAATAAAGCTTCTCTAATAGATCTTCTACAGTTACTGGAAAAATCCTAGAATAATTTCTTCAGTAGTGTTCACACATCTAATTACAATAGATATTTGTTTCAAATTTGGCCAACATCTTCACTGCCTTTAAAAAATACCATTATCTCTATAATACAACTTCGTACTAGTTCCTCTGAATGCCAAATTTTTACTGGCTTAAAATTGTACTGCAGCAACCATTCTTTTAATGATGGCTTTTCGCTTTTCTCTCGATTGTAAACATTTTCTTGTTTCGCGTCGATAGTACAGTTTTTTCCAGCCTCGTCTTTTTTTGCACCACGATCATATAGATTTACGTTTTTTAGAGTATTTGTTTTGTTATAATATGAACACCGGAAATTTAAAATTTGCTACTTGTTTGGGACCATGTTCTACCAATAAATCCATTTATTATAATTTTTTTTCCGTTAAAATGTTAGTCTAAATACCTACCTGGAAACGGGGCTATTTGATGATGTTGATGATGTTGATGATGTTGATGATGTTGATGATGTTGATGATGTTGATGATGTTGATGATGTTGATGATGTTGATGATGTTGATGATGTTGATGATGTTGATGATGTTGATGATGTTGTTGATGTTGATGATGTTGATGATGTTGATGATGTTGATGATGTTGATGATGTTGATGATGTTGATGATGTTGATGATGTTGATGATGTTGATGATGTTGATGATGTTGATGATGTTGATGATGTTGATGATGTTGATGATGTTGATGATGTTGATGATGTTGATGATGTTGATGATGTTGATGATGTTGATGATGTTGATGATGTTGATGATGTTGATGATGTTGATGATGTTGATGATGTTGATGATGTTGTTGATGATGTTGATGATGTTGATGATGTTGATGATGTTGATGATGTTGATGATGTTGATGATGTTGATGATGTTGATGATGTTGATGATGTTGATGATGTTGATGATGTTGATGATGTTGATGATGTTGATGATGTTGATGATGTTGATGATGTTGATGATGTTGATGATGTTGATGATGTTGATGATGTTGATGATGTTGATGATGTTGATGATGTTGATGATGTTGATGATGTTGATGATGTTGATGATGTTGATGATGTTGATGATGTTGATGATGTTGATGATGTTGATGATGTTGATGATGTTGATGATGTTGATGATGTTGTTGATGATGTTGATGATGTTGTTGATGATGATGACTATCCATTACTTTAGTGTTTGTATCGTCATTAATACTGGTGAATGTGGATGGTTGAGAATAATTAAACTCCACATTTTGATTCAAACCTTTTTGTTTAGGCTCAGTTTTTTCTGGTTGTCTGGACCATTTTTTCAATGCTCCCGCATTTTTACAGGGCCATTCTTAGGGGTGTGCAGGTTGCCCATGTACAAAGGCGGTCAAACTTAAGGGGGCCACTGGCAGAACCAGTTCAATGCAATTACTTTGTGAATATATAAGAGCCCGTTTTTCGTCATGTTCGTATAAGGCCAAAAAACCTAATTTTCTTATGAAACTTCAGAAGATGTTACATTTACACAAGGCGAATCAAAGGATGTAGTTGGCGAGAAACTTTTTATGAAATAACATCATTTAAATGTTTAACAGATGTTTCTAAATAAGGCGACATAGATTCCTTTTATATTGCGAATATTTTTAACTTTACCAGTAGCAGTTGAATCTGGAGAGCGATCATTTCCAAATTAAAAATAATAAAAACATTATCTACCTTTATCACAGGGACGGTCACATATTTGGGTATAGGTAATTTAAAATAATATCTGTGAACATTTAGATCCCTCGCCACTTATTGACGAATATACAATCACCATAAAGGCCAGATAAATATTTATGCAGAAAAACAATTTTAATTTTTCTTTTTCTTACTGCTTCTGTTCATGCTTAGATAAAATTCACAGGTTTTGTGGTAATATGTGTTTTGTTTTTTCTTTCTTTTTATTTTAATAATTTTTGTTATTATTGAGGTTTATATTTTGATTGAACCATTTTACTTATTAAATATTATATTAGGAAGTAATTCATAAAATAGTTTTGTTTATAAAAACATAGGTTATTAAATATGTATTTATGCCTACACAAAGGCGACAGAGGGGCTAAGAACGGCCCTGCTTGTTAGTGATTTCTTATATTCTTCTCTTTTCTATAAAAGGCACCTGACTCTCTTTAAAATTAATAAGAATTTTTCAGAAATTTTGAAATTTATCGAAAAGGATTACCTCCTGCGATGGAAAGAAATATACCATTAATTTTTTTGTTTACAAAACGTTTAAAATTATGGGTTATTCATAAGAAATTATTAAAAAAAAAATGATTCGTAGCGATCTTTAAAGTCTAGGTTAAAATGTAAACCTCAGAAAAATCCCAGTCGGTTACCCAATTTTGTGACAAAATTCCATTTTTGCAAAAGTAATTTAAAAAAATTAAAAATAAAGTTTCAATTTTAAACATTCTGTACTTATTTCCGAAACAAATCATCACGTTTATAATGAGCTTTTCTAAAAATTAGTTTAAATATAAATATGCCCAATTCTTTTACCTAATTAGGAAATCTAAACAAGAGCTCTTATAGTTTTCTAAAATGAGAAACAGGAACAGGGAACAAGAGTTAGTGAACATTACATTAAAAGATCAAATAAATAAAGTAAAAGTTTTCTACTTACCACAAACAATACAGTTCTGATTTAAACAAAAATCAACGGCAAAATCTTTTCACTAATTTTTAATAATTACTTATACTTATCTTGATTGTGTTGCCAGTATTATTGTTAAATCAAAATTGAATGAAAATAATTGAAATGGGAATGGTTTATCTCATTTTCCCTTATATATACTGGTAAAATAGCAAAAAAAAATGCCGATGCCGCAGCCCTTTAACTTTGCAGTTCTAATCAACAAAGGAGATCGCTAAAATAAAGTTTCTTCCGATCATTGATTTGCGTGCCGCGTCCGACCCTGGTATACATAAATAAGCCGCCGCACAGTGGAACGAAACAACTTTAGGCGTTTCAAAAATATGCCTCTTGGTTATATTTTTGGATATAAATCTAAAAATTTTTGGTATCCTTTTGAATGCTGTAATACCAGTTCTGCCACGAATTTTACTATCAAATGAAGGATGTGTGTAAAGAGTAGACTTTATTGGACAATGGAACAACTCGTAATTTTTAAACTTTTTTGGTCATTCTCAAAAGTCATGTTTTTAAGTCGAGTCATTCAATGACAGAGAGAGCGAAACGTTTAAAAATCGCCGTCTGCGGGGTGATATGATAATTTGTTTTTCTAATATTGACATATAAAGTGACATTTTTTGTAATCGCAACAAGAGTGAAAATGATCGTTATAAATAATTACCAATTATATTCTATTTGTACATAAAATGATGCATATGCAACTAACAATACAAGAAAGTAATATTGGTTGCCTAGATGTCAGTAATGTTTTACCAAAACACAATTTTATAAATAATCTAGTCAAAATTAAAAAAAGATATATTATATGTAACACGATAATAAAGGCCGTTTTAAGTAACTCGTTAATGTTGCGGGACCTCGCTCTACTCGTTGTATAAAATAAGCAAACTTAAAATGTATGGTTATCGTAGACAGTGAAAATCTACTACGTGGTCATACATGGAAGTTGAAAAAATAATCATTTACTACTAAATCGAGGCAAATTTTTATGCAATCGAATATTCTCTATTAATGTTTTCAAGAAAGACTTCGATAATTTTTTATTTTTAAATTAACATTTCATTTGTGTTACTCGATTATTTACTTATTATCCAGTTAGTATTTGTTTTTTCTCTTACTTATAAACAATGTTTTATATTAAGTTAATATGGGTTGATGGGTTTTATGACCCCTGCTCTTATCAAATAATTATAATATTAATATTATTTTAATTTCAGAAAAATAAAGCTTCCCAACAAACATGGCCATCTTAATTTCTATACCGATAGCAATATTGTTATTGTACAACTATGTTGCAGCAGAATCAATTCCATCTTGCGACAGCCAAATCTACTGCCAAGGAAAATTACTGCACACCGTACAAATGGCGAAACTCTATCAAGATTCTAAAACGTTTGTCGACATGAGCCAAAAAAATCCGCCCGAAGTAACGCTAGAAAAGTTCAATAAACTAATGAAAGACACAAACGACAATCCATCTAAAACAGATATCAAAGAATTCGTTGAAAATAATTTCGAGAGTAGTGGAGAATTAGTGGATTGGATACCGACTGATTATAAGAAACACCCGAAGTTCTTAGATAGGATAAATGATTTAAAAGTTAAACAGTTTGCACAAAACTTGATTGATATTTGGCCAAGTTTGGCTAGGAAAGTTAATAGCTCAGTAGCTGATAACCAAGATCAACATTCTTTAATCTATTTACCTAATGGTTTAATAATACCTGGTGGTAGATTTAAAGAAATATATTACTGGGACTCCTATTGGATTCTCAAAGGTTTAATCCTCAGCGAAATGACAGATACAGTCCGAGGCATTCTAGAAAATTTCTTATCTCTTATAGATAAATTTGGTTTCATCCCGAACGGTAGCAGAGTGTATTACCTCAACAGATCTCAACCACCTTTATTCGCATCTATGGTGGGTCTATATATAGACGCTACTAACGACAAGGCTTGGTTAGAGAAGCACGTAGATACTATTGAAAAAGAATTACATTGGTGGATGAATAACAGAAAATTCACGATCGACAAAGACGGAAAAGATTATGAGATGTACAAATATTTTGTGAAAAGTAATACACCCAGACCAGAATCGTATTACGAAGATGTTCAAACTTGTGGAGGACTTCCAGATATACAAAAGGTTCGTAAAATTAGTTTAATTTATTTATACATAATGCTCTTCCTTGCCGTTTAGTTTAATCCATCATCTCATGCTCTAATTATCTATTTAATTAACTGATATTTTTAGTTATTTGCAGCATCTTTGTGATCTTTACTTAAAGCTAGGATGGCAGATGTAGTTATAGTGTCTTGTTATAGTTGGGGTACCTACGTCACACGTGTATAACAGGTATAAAGTGAGTCTCAGGACGCTTCCCTGTGGATGACCTGCTTTGATTTCTTCAAATTCAGAGTATATATGAATCCAATAGCTCTGAGTATAACTGTGGAAGAGGCACATTCAGTTTATCTTTTAAATCAACATGCCATATTTTATCACAAGCCTGAGCAACATCAAGGAAGATGGAGCAGACTTGAGATTCTATGAACCTGATCTATAGTTGAATGGGAATGTATTACTGAAACCTACTATAACTACACCAGTGGCGTACCAATGTATTTTAATTTATGACAAACCTCTATGAAGCTTCTTGTTATTAACTCAGATAAACAAATGAAATATAGATAAGTAACGATCTGGATTTGTTTAAAGCCAGTATCTATCCTTTTTGCCTATTAGCCCTCTTGCACACGAAGATACAGTTTGCCAGATACGCGTATCCGAGATATAGAATTGTGGTCGAAAACTTGGACTACTGTATCGAATTCACGCTTCTCTTTAATCAGTACTAAAATAGTCGCAGTGCCGTGCATAGATTTTTGAATTATGGATCTAGAAGAGTGTATTATACTGTGGTATATGTGTCAATTTTAACATTTACAAAAAGTAATGTGATTGACTATTTGCATGTCATTCATTATCATTTTTGAAGTAACAAATGATGACAAAGTAAAAATGTATCTACGTCATTTAGAAAAGAAAAATCTCATATGACGCGCACTTTATGTGTGACATTGTATATTAAGAAAAAGTAATCTGTGTGTCCTGGATCCCATGAACAGAAATTAGGCTACACCAAACTAATTAATTGTTCGGTTTCTAAAACTATATTCTCCATCACTACTTTATAGCGCTTAGTAATAACAGTAATACATAGTACCTATAACAAATTAGGTAATCAGAATGTCTTTTAAAATTATTTAGTTTTGACCTTTATATTAAATTTATTTACAAAAAGCATATAATATTCTAGTAGACCGGAACCCTAAACAAACCTGAGTATTTTACATAATTCAAAGGGTTTGAGATTTTTCGACGAATGGGATAGATAATAGATAATAATAGATGGATAATAATAAACAATATTCCAAATCATAAAGTCAAAACTCATAAACGCAAAGGCATCTGTAGAGTACATTACTTTAATATTAAAAAACTGGACATACAACATGAGTAGAGAAGACGGTGAAAAATATAAAATTCTGTAGTTTAGGCTGTTTTATTCGTGAAATAATTTAAAAAAAAACTCTTCATGCATCTAATTTAATCGCAAAACATATTTTTTTTAATTTTGCTTTATAGGAAAATGTTCAAAATAATGTGTCCTCATACAATTTAATCGAATAAACTAAATGCACTCAGGATACCTACCATTGAAAAATCCTGCGCCTATGATATATTCTCCGTTGCAAAAGTATCCATGTCTGAAAAGGTCCATATATCGTAATAGTTATGATGTATGCGGCATACGCATTCAGCCTCCGCGGCTGAAGGTGCCGTGATACAGAAATTCCGTATCGCGATACTGTATGCGTCACGCGTACCGTGTGAAAAGGTCCATTTGAATGTATGTTCAGCCTGAATACGCGTATCTCGCATACAGTATCTTCGTGTGAAAGAACTCTTACTTTCTCTTTATCCTGGGTCCTTGATCCATTAATTTAATTTGGTGACATACATGTTGACATTTACAATTCGGTTAGTATGGGATTTCCATATATTTCATTCTTTTTTTTTTATTTATAATTACCACTTTTGATATTTTTATATTATTTTTTTTTTTTTTGGAATTTTATATTGAATTTTTATATTTAATTCTTGTATTGTGTTTTTAAATTATTATATCATTTGCGTTAATTGTATGTGTATACATTTTTGGATAAAGCTTTGAGTCTTATATAAAAAACTCTCATCACACATAAGTTTTACCTTAAAAAATGTATGTAATTTAGATGTATAGAGGAGGTTTTTCAGGCATTATGCATACAATCTAGGAATTAATTGGCTAGATACTAACTATCGTCAAATTTCTAGAATTTTAAATATTTACTCTCTTGAATAACTAAGGCATGATGCGGATTTACTATTCTTACATAAGTTGTTAAATGATTTAATAAATTGTCCGAAACTGCTTGCTTTATTTTACTTTAATTTTATATCAAGAACTAGAATTGACAATTGTTATATGAAAATATACGTTTAACAAATTATAATCGTCATAATCTACTTACATGCGTATCTCGTAAATTAAATAGCCTGTCGGCTTCCGATGATATATTTTTCAATTCATTTAGAATTTTTAAAAGAATATTTGTTTGTGTACTATTTTTTTAAACTATTTCGCTATGTTAACTACCTAAACTTACTACTGTAATTTGATTATATTGCATGAAATGGATTTTCCGTTAATATAGTTTTTTACCTAATTTATTATGCACTGTGTAGTAATGTAGAACATTTTTTTGTTTATTTACTAAATCTTAATTAGTAATACATTGGGTATATCTACGGCAGCAGGGCCACCGAGAGCCAGGCGGGGCCCCAGGACAATTCTCTAAATCGGGCCCCGTGACAAAAAAAATATTCTCTCCTCTTTACTTAAATTTTTCTAAAAAAAAAAGTTTTCAAACAAAAACTTTTCCTCCTCTACTTGAATAAAAAAAGGCTCTTCAAACAAAAACTTTTCCTCCTTTACTTGAATTGAATTTTCTAAAAAAAAAGCTAGAAGGGCTGCATTTTTTATTATTTCTGAAATTCCGTATTTGAACACGGAATTTCGTATTCAAACACCCAATACGGAATTTCCTGTTTTAACAAGGAACTTCCGTGTTTGGTCATGTAATTACAGATTTCCCTCTTCGTACACGGAATTCCGTATTTAAACACGAAAGTCAGTAATTCCGTGTTCAAACATGGAATTCTATATTCGAGCTATAGTTTTTAATGGCATATTTTCAGGCTGCTCTTGGGGGACTTGTGGAATTCGGGAAAGGCAGGGTAAATATGGATCCAATGAAATCCTCATAATTTGGTCCCAAATACTCTACTTGAACAATTTTATCTTAAATTAACGTTTAAGGTACAAATGGAGAGTGCAAATGAAAAAAAAGTTTGTTATTGAAACGTTCGACCTTTGGTTTCCATACACGAAGGACGTTTTATTTGTCCTTGATTTCCATTCAGTGGATTTTGTTTTTTAGATGCGCATATATGGGTATAAGTATCTATATTTTTTATGGCGTCATCATTTTTCAAAATATGATGCCATCACCAGTTGTTTTAAATAGCACCACAATTTTTTGTTATTACCATTTAAAAGAACCACAAGAAAACAATTCTTAACCCACTTCTTCACATTTTCTAGAGATAAGTAACTAATAATTGCTTGAAACCATTTAGAAAACGCCCCCTCACTTTATCCTTCTCTCTCATCCTTTGGGCTAGTAAGGGAAGAAGGAAAAATTTAAAAAGCTATACAGAGCGTAATTTTGATCAGATTTAAATGATATTTGGGCATCAAGGACTAGACCTTAACAACTAAAACTGACCTGGAAATAAAATTAAAGGAAAAATATTATGCAAGGACCAAAGAGAGCGATACTATTTACGTCATCTCCAAGAGTAACCTGTAAATACGCCATTAAAATGTATAACTTGAAATTAAAATTCCTTGTTCGAACAAGGAATTCCATGTTCAAACAAGGAATTCCGTGTTCGATCACGGAATTCCGAGTCCGAACACGGAATTTCAGATTTCCGAGTTCAAATAAATAATTCTGTGTTTAAATACGGAATTCATACAAATTACAATGCACATATATAACAAAATAATTATTGCCGTGTATCTACCTATAAACAATATTACCACTGTAATAATTTGAAACCATATTTTTTATAAATTTCATTTATTACATTGGAATAAAAAGTAGCAGAATTTATTTTTTGTAAAATGAAATTTGTTGCTTGAATTGCATTTTTCTTTAAATTTGTCGTTGGCAAAATATTTACAAAACAATCCTTTGTATTCTGATGAAAAAACTATTTGATACGCCCATGGAGATCACAAATGTCAATCGTTCGTATACTGGCTTCAAACAAAGCTTATGTTACACGGCGCCCGTTACTTATCAACGTTTTATTTGTTTTTCTGAGGTTATTTACTATGTACTTTTCTGGACTTTCTATTTTGATTTAATTTTTAGAGCACTTGCTACATTAACATGAAAAGTGGCGCTGAAAGTGGTTGGGATTATTCTACCAGATGGCTTTTTACCAAAGAGGGAAATCCAAGTACGAATTTAAGCATGATCGATATAACTCATGTAGTTCCTGTCGATTTAAATTCATATTTATGCAAAGCGTTTGAAGAACTAGCTAGATTTTACGAATTATTAGGAAATACAGTCAAATCTTCGTTGTGGTCTCAAAGGTTAGTATAAATATACAGAGTGGATGATGTACAAAAGCGAATGGCATAATGGCGGTTTCTCAATAATTTAAATATTATCATTCTTTAAATAATTTTATCATAAAATATTAATTCCAAAAACAATGGTACACAAAAATATAAACCATATTTTTTCTACGACCTACGATCTTAATGAGCAACGTAACGGGGATACGGCCGTGTAACATGTCAAATAAAACGGTGGAACATGATTATCACGTATTTGATGCCATCCACGATAAGAGCTTCGAAATCGTGAAAAATCCTTAAGAAAGCGTTTTAACGCAAAATAAAAAAATAATGCCTAATTAGAAATAATGATGGCGCAATATATCCGAACAACAAAAAATTATATACCATATTTTTCTACAACCTATGATTTTAATAAGAAACAGGGGTACGGGCTTGTGACATGTCAAACAAAACGGTGGAGCGTAAGGAGCAAGTATTTAATGCCCATCTACGATAAGTGTTTTGGAATACTGAAAAATCGCTTCGAAACGGTTTCAAAAATAAAGCTTAATTCGTAATAATGGTGACGCAGTTTTCATAGATCTAGATCATGAACTTCAGTAGCGTGTATGCCTTATTTAACATAATTTTAAAAATTTAATTAATCTTACAATTAATGGTATTTTTATAATAATTACCTTTTTACATTTATTTGTTTTATTTTTATTAGGCATAATGCATTAAAACAAGCAATCCAAGATGTTATGTATTCCAATGAAGATGGCATATGGATGGACTACGATCTAGTTAGATCTAAACAAAGAAAAGGTTTTTATCCAAGCAATTTCGCCCCTCTATGGGCAGATGCTTATGATTTAACAAAAAAAGAAGATTATGGACTCAAAGCTGCTTATTATTATAAACAGAACAGGATTCAAAAGTACGTTGGTGGTATACCAACTTCTTTGATCAACAGTGGACAGCAGTGGGATCTTCCAAATGCTTGGCCACCTCTTCAAGATACTATTGTTTTAGGTGAGTTTATTATGTAATTAAAGTGAAGTAGGAGTGGGGATAATACGTCACAATCCACTAATTTTTCCAATTTAAATGATTGTTATTTTGCATGAAAAAAATATTATATTATATAATAGAGTCACTATCATTTACTCCAAATTTAATGCTGTTACACAGCTTCGTGGACGAAGAACTCTTCGTCCACGCCAATGAAGATGGCTGCCGCAGTTGCAGATAAAACGTTTGGTAGTAATAACCAAGAAAGACGACGGAATAACAGCCCGGAAACCAACAATTACATAGACGTAATAGTTCATAGGTACATAATGATTTGTTTGGTGCAAACTCGACTTGAGTAATAACGCCCCTAGGGAACTTTGTCAGAGCTGATACACGTGACTGAAAATGAACCATTTTAATTGGTTTTCTAATGATGCAAGATATTTTCACTTTAAGTTTTCTGTGACTTATCTGACACAACAAAAAATCAGCATAGAGGATAAAAAATGCAGGTGCGTGAAATGTATCGTTGATAAATAAAAGAAAAAGTATAGGGCCCAAAAATGGAGCACTGGGGAGCACCAAGATAATTTTGCACCTATTCCGATGAAACATTTTCGACAACTACATAATATTATGTCCGATTAATCATAAATCCCCTTATTCCACGTATATATAAAGTTTATTTAAAAGAAACTCTAGATTGACGCAATCGAATGCCCGGCAGAGATCACAAAATATTCCAACCCCACACTCATCTGTTTCAATATAATTTATTATTTGATGTAATATTAATTGTATGTTTACTATCAAAAATAATATTTTAGGTTTGAAGAAAACCGGTGCTAGAAAAGCCAAAAAACTAGCAGAAAATCAAGCAAAAAGGACGATAGAAGCCTACATGAAAGGTTTCGAAGATACCAAAGAAATGTTTGAAAAATATGACGCACTTACACCCGGTGGGTATGGCGGAGGGGGAGAGTACACCGTCCAATCTGGTTTCGGTTGGACAAATGGTCTTGCTCTACATTTCATTGATCAATTTTACACAGAAGGAAGGCGCCCGAATAGACGTCCCAAGAACAGACAAAATATAGATTCTGGAATTGCTGCGTAGTTCTTATTATGAATAATTTAATATTGTAATATAATGTTTAATAGTATATCTAAATTATTTATTTTTCTCTAAATATATTTATTTTAATGTGTTTGTAACTTAATTATCAGTAAAATCTTGAAACAACTCCAAAGAAAGCAATTTCTAAAAATAACTCATCTAATTAGTGCATCATTTAGACTGACCTAAACTCTGGCCAAATAGCAGAAGTCATTATGATTCCAAAACCAGCAAACCGCCTAACGAAGTTCCATCATGCAAACCAATTTCTTTACTTCCTGTAATATCGTATGAAAAATTACTCCTTAAAATATTGAAACCAATAATAGATAGAGAACTTAATTTCCCTTCTCATCAATTCGGCATTAAAGAAAACCACTATTGAAAAATCGTTAGCAGAAAACAATATTTGCTCTGCAATCTTCTTGGTCGTAGCGCAACCTTCTAGTATAGCATGAAGTATAGCATGAAGAATTATTCCACAAGCTAAACACACTTCCTGTTTCGCAGAGAGGGTTATTAGTCAGGGAAAGTGTTTGTATTAACAAATATACGATGTCTTTTTTTTTATTTTGCGTTTCTGTCGTCAAGAACTGAGTCAAATAGACTGAAAAAACGATTCAGACAAACACCTTTAGAGAGCCAACGTACTTCTGTGTGCAGCAGTAATTGATTGTAATCTTCATAATTTTCACTACAAAGCTGACCAAATAATCGGTCATTCAATGAATTGCTTCTAATCTTATTGATTGCTCTAATAAATGAAGCGACGTATGCCGACGTTCATTAAAAATTTTTGCAACTAAATGCTGACCATGAATAATACAATGTACAGCGAGTACATTTGGCACTGCTTGTTTCAAATGCGCTCTGAAACCCTTAGGACGTCCTGCTGGAACACCATCAGTAGCTGCTGACAAAATATTGCAAATGAGGACTTATTTCTCTTGAAAAAACTTCATGGTATTAAATATAGATTCTCCCTTTGTATCAATTTCCAAATTTTTAGCAAATAATAACTCTTGATAAATGTTTTATTGTTTCTATCACTTTAAGAGTAGAGCTTCGTTATTTGGTAGAGTTGATTTACCGAGTTGAATGGAAAATTTGCACTTTAAGTATTCACATAATGATATTTCAACATCTTTTGCTATTTCATATCTATTCTTCTTTGCACGGAATTATTACTGAGTGGAATTTTGATTGATGATGTCTGACGGTGTTTTATAATGAATAACAGTTTTATTATCTCTTTGACTATCGGCAAAATTAATTCCTCATTAATAATTGTGTGTAGTTTTCCAGCTTTTGCAATGAATAATGAAATGCTATATGAGGTTCGTAGTCCATCATCATCTTGTTTAGAAGACGACGCCAAAAGGTTTAATACAGTTTTGGTTCTTTAAATATTGCTTTTCCAGTCCTTGAGAATAGGATAAATTTTTATTCTTCTTGTCAAATGCTGTTGTAGCCTAGATTTCATGGCTTCATTTGAAAAAACTTTTAGGCAAATTAAGCACATAGACAATAACTGAATTGTAGGAGAGTACGTAAATCCATATTTTAAATAATCAATACTGTACTGCCGGCATTTCTTTTTAGACGTAGATTCAGACATTTTCAATTGCAAATTAATTTCTCAACAGATTTATAGATAGTTATAGAAATATTATTTCACGAGTATTTATTACGGCGAAGCACATAAAAATAACAAAACATTCCTAGAGTTATTTCTTTTATAGATTTGACTTTATGCACGTATTAACTTGTATGTTTACGATGCTAGCACACTTGCTCTATAAACAAGTCATTTCAAGTTTCCACGTTCTTGTTGGATTGCATGAACTGCGTTATTTGCGTGATTAGTACAACAATAAGATAATTTACTTAGCTAGATAAAATATTTATTAATGAAAACAGGGATTGTATTTTATTATATTAATTTCCTAAATAGATACCATATTTCAAAATATTTTAAAATCATTTATTTGAAATATGTAATAACTATATTTGATAAACATTTTTTTAATTGAAAAATAAATATTTTTATATTTTGGTGGCGATAGGGTAAGCACCACCCCTCTTGATTGCCTTAACGCCCCCTATTTGCCTCTGGATCTGCTACCGCCCCCAAAGAAAGTTCCAGCGCCCACTGGGGCGGTATCGCTTTCGTTGAGAACCTACCTTTCTAGTTTGGTAAATGGTTAAACCAAAATGAATGGAGCAGAATTCTTTAAATAAACAACTAGCTGATGTTCTTTTTCAGGTGTAAATATTCAATGGATATCAAACAGGTTCATAGGAAAAGTCAGTCACAGTATTGACCTTATTTTTTTGTACATATCGTCCAATTACAGATTTTATATTTATCAGGAGCAATTCGTAAAGACAAATTATTACATACATCTCGGACTTCGGCTTCCATAGTCTCCTTTGACGGGATTTGCATTTTTCTGCCGATTTTACTGCGTGACATTGCTGGAATCTAAATCAAATTAAAAACAATGTACTATTTGTCTAATACTCGGTACAGCAATGCCGACTGTCTCCTGGTACAAAAATGCTGTTAAACAAATCAAATTGATTTTTTTTAGCTTAGGGTGACAGATCGCTTATGTAATATTAAGTCATGTATAATATCTAAAAGGTTTTGGTACACAAGTAACGTGGATGTCCTAATGTCTACAATAAACACTCACATATTCTTGTGATTTTATTACATTTTGCTTACAAAAAAAAACAAAACATATGCTCGATTGCAAATCAGATACTTAAAAACATCAATAAATTTGCAGTGTTGTCGCTGTAAAAATTATGTGGTGAACTGTAATGACTTTAAATTGTGTTGAAAATAATTTGTCCCTAAGTCACATACTTTGATTAATATACGGTGCAAGAGAGAGGTCCGACACGCCTAACATAGGGCGCGGCCATTTTGATGCCTTTGCCAGTTTATAGCTAAAGAATCAGTTTGCTATTTCTGCGTCGGCACTTTTGAACTAAATGTTCCAGTTTATACACTGCGCAACTCGGATAATACAATATATGACAACCGCCTCTAATAAAACAGCAGTCTTCTGCGCATCCTGAATTTGTATCCCTGAAGTGGATGTTATTTTGGAACTTTCAATTGGTCCGAGTAAGCTAACTGATTCTTTTTGGCAATAAACTGTGACTCCAAAAATAATATTCACTGACACTGACAGCAGCAAGCAAAATATTTAAAATATTGCGCCAAGATGTAGGCAACACGTAATAGGGCATCAAAATGGCGGAGTTTTTTATCTCCTTTTAAAAGGCACTCAGAAAGCTGTGCAGTGCGACCATTTTCCGTATAGTAAGAGAAAATCAAAGTATGTGCCCTAAGTACTACACTCTCCTCTAAATGAAGAGCGTTAGGGCCGATGCTCACGAACTTTTTTGGCAGTCGCGTTAACGTCAAGTTAATGCATACATAAACGTAATTTTCAATTCACACGCAGCGCTTCTTGTCGTCTGTTCTGAAACAAGGCAGTGTAAATTCATCTTGAGAATGGAAAGGATGGATGTAATTTCTTAAAAATGTTATATTTGTATATATTGTTTACAAACATTTTAAGGAAGAATAGGAAATACTGTGTAAATCCTTACTTAAGTTACAGTTTACTAAAAGGTGCTTGTTGGGGATAGGTGCTTTCCCCTTTACATTCTTAACACATTCCTTCGACTACATGTAACTTCATTTAATATTAATATTGTAGTTCCATACTGAAGAAGTTTTTTATCACAACTGTAAACATATTTAAAATCTTAGTAAATCACATTTACTTAAGAAAATTAACGCCAAGCCCTTTTTATAACAAAGTTACAACATGGCTACCTGGCGCCTAATTAAAAGAACGAGTAAAAAAGGTAAAAACGAAAATGTGCACGTGACGCGAAACCAGAGCCGGCTTAAGTTTTTTTGTTTTAATTTAAATATATTTTGTTTTGAGTTTTGATTTAAATGTCTTGATCTGTGTTTTGAATTAAATATATTATGTTGACTTAAGAAATAATAATGAACGTAATTTTTACGTTTATATGACCATACGCTCATTTGATGCTTTATACAAGATTATTTCGGATGTCCATCATTTATTTTATGTTTAATTATGTGTTTAATTACTCATAGCCCATAGCTGCAAAGTTTTTCTACCACCTTTCGTGTACTTCTTGATACAAACTAATATATCTTTGTAACGCGGACGTACCGCTGAGACGTGGCGTCGAGATGGTACCGACCGGTGTTATTTTTGCAGTCGCATTACCGACCTCCCGTTTATGTAACGTCGACGTTAGATCGTATGAACCCTTTGATTGAATGTATGCCGTTGCGTTAACGCGACTGCAACAAACTGTATTGAGCATCGGACCTCATATATACGTAACTATTCAGAATGTTTTGGTGACTGACAATCCGTTAAAGCAAATATGGGAACTAACTCAGAAAAAAAGTTGGGAATGGTTAAATGACGATGTGTCAAAATGTAATTAGAAATTGAATCGGTTTTTCTTCAGAAATAACCGATAAATTACATGTAAATAAAATTCTACGACACCCTCGAATACATAAAAAAAAAGCATAAATACTTATGATACTTACGATATTCTGGTTTGTAGTTTAATTTCTCGTTTCGCCTGATCAACCCTTTTGAAAATAAAACGACCAAAATATATAAAAACACTTTATTGTTCATTTCTAATAAAAAAATTATTAGAATGTTAATCTAAAACCACCAAATAAGTTAATAAAAAAAAAATAGGTCAGACAGTTGGAGGAACGGAATATATCACTTTTTTATGACTAGTTTCTACTCGTACCCAAGCACATGTTTGTGATAAAACAGAAGATACCTACAAAATGAAAAAAATATATATAATTGCAATAAAACACTTTTTAATACACACTGCTCAACAATAATTTTAAAGACTTTTTGCAACTCATGAGCCAATCCCACTAAACATAGAAATACTTGCATGCAAGTTTATTTTCGGCTTACAAATAACTTATTTCGATAAGTGGAAAATTTACTAAAATCTGAAATGATTAAAACCTGCCACAAAAAAAAACAATCCAAATTATAAAATATTATTTAACTCGCCTTTCAACTTTGACCAATCAGATCGCAATTAACAAATTTTTGATGAAAATTTTCAAAACAAATACATGTGAAACATTAAATTTATCTCGTGCTAGTTTCGGGGTTCTCCTCAATTTCATGTAAAATTCCTTCTTCAAAATCCGGTGTTCTTACTGTTTAATGGACTCCTTTAGCCCTGTGGTCTTCTTTTAAAGTTCCGATCTCGTGAAGACGTCTATGAATCCTAGAAAATGTTCTCGGATCGGGTAGTACGCGATTTGGATACCGCTCTTGGTATACCCGCCTGGCTTCGTATGCATTTCCGTTTGCAAGCCAATAAGTAAAATGCATGTCATCTAATTCACCGTTCGTAAAATTTACCATTTTTATCAGATTTTACATCTTACTCTAATAATTATTTAACAATGTAAAACAATGTCAACTTTATTGTTTTTGTGAGAAGAAACGTCAAAAATTATGACGCTTTACCCAACCTACAGATTTTTATTTAATTTGCTTTAAGAGGGAATTTAATGTGCTTACCGTTTTTTTATTATTCAAATATTCAATATCATGCGTAGGTGAACGTCATTTGTGAAGGTAGAAATTTAATTTTTGTCCCAAAAAAATGTTTCCACGCATGGTGGGTGTCTACCAAATTTTTTTCAGTGTACACATCGTTTCGCCAGTCGTCACTCTAATTTTAAGCTTCGAACACGCAACATGTTTCGAAGTCGTCCTATATAATTTTCGACACAACATTATTCTCAACCTCCAACCAACGCTCTTCGTTTTAACATAAAGTAACTACAAGCATGAAGTTTTGATTTTTCCACAAGCAAATAAATTGTTTATTTGTTGTCAAATGACTTTTGATTTTATCTTCCTCTCACAAAGTTGATACAGATCCGCCTGTACCTGCTTCAGTCGATGAATAAACAGTATATAAAATCTACAAAAGATTTTAATTGTATGTTAACAATAAGTTAATTTTGTATGTTTCCATAAATTATGGCATATTAAGTTTATATTTTCAAGTTTAGAGCGAGACAGATTGAGACTTGCTGAAAGCTATCATATTTAACAAACTGGCATTTATATTTGTAAGTTTGCAATAAATTTGCAGCGAATGTATTTTACTTAGTGGGATTGTTTTAATATTTGGAGTGGTCGTTGAAGCCTAAAAATTTCAACTACCGATAAATTTATTTTAACATTTTAAAATTATAATTTCTAAGCAATTAAAATTATCCAGATCAAATATTGAGCAGCGTAATTATAATTCTGCGTTTTACATACCCTTCAGACGCCAAAACTTCTTTCAAATTCGCCCTAGTTATAACCTCATCGTCGCATTTATACCAATAATCGTGTTGCTGTCTCACATACGCTATATAATGTCCTATATTTATAGAAGGGCCCAAATGAATGATAACAGCGAACAAGGAATATCTATTGTCGATAGGAAACGGAGACTGATCTTCGTTCCTACTCATAAACGGCGTCATATCTAACATTTCGGGAAAAGAAATAACGGTAGAAATTTTTTTCTCGATCTGAAAAATATCTTTGCTAATTTCAAAACGAATAGTAAAAATTTAATTGAGATTGGGGAGATTTCAATTAATTTTGTCATTACACAAAGTTTGTTATATGGTTGATTTGTATTTCAATTTAATTTGAATGACAATACAAAGTATCTAAATCTCTTCCAATAATCAATTGAAACCTTTTAATCCCAATTAAATTCAAATGACAAATATAAATTAACCTAAACTTCTATAGGGTAATCTTAAAAATTAATTCTATTAAAAATATAACGCATTAGCCCTTAACAAACCTCGTTATAATGTTGAAATCGTTTCAAATGAAAACTAACTACAACAGGTAACGTTTTCATCGTAAATTGTTTGGTAAATTCTTCGTCAGACTGACAATTTGAGCAAAATATTAATCCTAAATGTTCGGCTTTCGTAAATCGTTCTAAACATTCATACAGAGATGACGGTTGTCGTCCGCCTAGAGTAACGGGACCCAAATCTAACGAACAGTCCCAAATTGGATCGATTTTTGTGGAGACACGGCTTTAAAAAATAATGTAAGTTAATATAGTATAAGGGTGTTCCAAAATTAAAGGTCAAACTTTTTAACGGCTTATTATACAGGTGAAAATAAGTTCCTATAAACGTACCCAATAATCACAGTTAATTGGCACCGTAACTGGGCCGAAGGAAGCTTGACGAATGCCGGACTCGACCCGATATACGTGTGCAGCTTCAGCATATAGGTAGAGCGTGTCCGCCCAGCCGAATGTCGGCAGCCCACTACATTATAGCCGCGTTCATATATCTACAGTATGGTTCAAATGAAAGGAATAAATTCATTATAATGGAAGTAGGTGGTTTTTTGAAAAAATGCTCGGACAGGTCAATTTTGTTTACTAAAAGCGCAATTTTTTAAATAGAATTTAATTTTCCCCCACTTCCCATTTTTGGGCAGTGACGTCATTGACAATTTTTTTAAATAGTAACCCCAATTTTTTTTTCTTGATTTTGATAGATCTTGCAATTTCCTACTCGGAAACATAATATTTGAAATATCTTACATAACAATTTTTTTTGAATAAAAGACATTTAAAGATCAGACACATAAATTTTATTTTATTTTGAGAACACAATAAATGAATAAAATATAATTATTTGTAATTAAGTGCTTAATCTAACAAAATAATTAATAATAATAATAAAAAATAATTTGTGAAATTGTCATTAAATTCTTTTTATTATTATTATTATTTTTTTTTTTTTTAGATGAGCACTTAATTACAAATAATCTTTTATTTATTGTGTTTCAAAATAAAATAAAATTTATGTATCTGATCTTTAAATGACTTTTATTCAAAAAAAATTGTTATGTCAGATATTTCAAATATTATGTTTCCGAGTAGGAAATTGCAACATCTATCAAAATCAAGAAAAAAAAATTGGGGTTACTATTTAAAAAAATTGTCAATGACGTCACTGCCCAAAAATGGGAAGTGGGGGAAAATTAAATTCTATTTAAAAAATTGCGCTTTTAGTAAACAAAATTGACCTGTCCGAGCATTTTTTCGAAAAACCACCTACTTCCATTATAATGAATTTATTCCTTTCATTTGAACCATACTGTATATCAGCGTTGCCAGTCTAGTACAATTGTACTAGATCTAGTACATTTTCTTAGGATCTGGTACACTCGAAGCAAAATCTAGTACCTTTTCTTTTTCAGCTTGTTACGGCTGTAAAATATATTGTTGGGATCTTGCTCCTTGTTATGTTTTCGTTCGTTAAAAACTATTTTTTTTTTCTTAATGAACCAAACCACATCCCAATTCATTCGAAAATCGGGTACATTTTACAGAATCTAGTTGTAATTTGGTACATTTTTTAGACAAATCTGGGGTACACAACAAAAATATATTCTGGCAACACTGATCTATATATAGTTCGGCCCGTAAGGATGCTTCCCTTGCCCGGCTAGCCAAATATTCACCGAGTTTGGCCCATTAGGATGCCTCTCATGTTTGGAAAGCCAAATGTGGACCACATGCGGTTTCTACTTGTAAATTACATCAAATGGTACGGTCCTCCCGGCTCAGAAGTAACCCCGACAACGACAATTCGAGTACTCGGCTTCCCGTGCATGCCGGTGTCAGGCCGAGCGAATGCCGACTCTTTGTGGTTTACTAGGTATACTCAAAAATGTCCTATAAGGGAACAACGCCCCTTTGGAAAGAACCCCCTAAAGATCGGTAAGGGAAAACCAGAAGACTTTCGACACTTTTCATACCTATATCCCTAAAATCCATAGTATATAGTAAAAACTTAAATTGTGCCTCCCCCTCCCATTTCTTATTCATAAACAATTATAGTAAATATGAGGGTTATCCTGAATGTAACTTAATTCATCAATTTAATTTCATTTCTGTAAAAACATAAAAAAACCTACTTTCCATTAGAAAATTTAAAGATGGTAACGCCCTCTATCTTACGTCTCAAGTAAAGTGTTTTTTCTCCATCTTCTTCTATTTAGAAGTTAAGAGAGGGGGAAAATGTACGTTCTCATTGCATAAAAGACAATCGTGCAGCTTGTCCATTATCCCTTGTTTCGGGAAGAGAGTGGACTAGCATAAGAGAAAAAATGGACAGTAAATATATTTAAAAAAAAACTTTATATTTTTATACAAAATGTCTCTTTGCTAACTGAAACTGAATGTAGGTAGGTAACTAATAACCTAATTTTCAAAAATACATGAAAAATATTAAAAATACAACTTAACCCTGTGCAGTGGTTTTTAGACGGGATTTTGATCGTTTTGCACTTCTTTTTTAAGTACGTGTAGATATTGAAACCAAAAAATTGACTATAAAGTGGAATTTACATGGGAGAGTAGAAGATTTTTGAATATTCAAAATCATGAATTTGATCTCAAAGATTATGTCTAAATGGAATTTTTAGGATTTTTTTTAAAGCAGCGCAGCAGGAGAAAAGATTTCAAAAATGGATTTTTAAACGTTGAAAATAGTCGTTAGACAAAAACTTTCGTACGAAAAACAGCTTGAAACATTTTTTTTACCAATATACTTTTTTATTTATTTACATTTTATATATACAGTGCAACCTCGATAATCCGAACCCACGCTAATCCGAATTACACTGATCCGAACGCAAAAATCGTGATGCGAGATAGTCCGAACGCCGCCTCTGTAATCCGAACATTGACAGGAAAAGACCTGCAGCGCGACCTGCGTCGCCCATATGTAGTTTGATAATGCATTTAAATGTACCAAAATCAATATACATACATAGATCTAAAGGTCTAAAAATGTGTAAGAGGTGTTTTATTGTATATTCGTTAATCCGAACAATTCGATAATCCGAACAAGGTCTGACAATTAGGTGTTCGGATTAAGAAGGTTGCACTGTATATTATGGATCTTGTTATTAGTACAGGAAATCGTACAGAACTAAAAACACGTATAGGCAGACGGGCGTACTCTGTACATTTTATGTTTCAAAATTAGTTATTTAATAGCCATTAAGACAATAATTATCACATGTTTTATAAAGCTGGTTCAAAAAACAATTACCAAAGATATTTTCATTTTTTTACTGTTATTTTTTTACTGTAAAAAAATTTCTATGTGCCTTGTACATTTACTTTTACTATTTATATTTTACCTTTCCACTTTCGCCCGAAATTTTCCTAGATTATAAAATTCGAGTTTGCTATTTTTGTTGTTTTATCAAAAAATTCTATATTTCACGGAACTAATTGTAAAATTATATTTGACCTCTTTACCCAATGTTCATAATTTTCTCAGACTAAAATTCGCCATTTTTGACGTTTAATCAGCTTACAAAACAAAAAGATGTTCGATGCCCTTATTAATATTTTAGATAATATTAGACTTGACATTTGAAACTTAGTTTTTACTTTTAATAAGTTCTAGGTTTTCTTTTTGGTTCTTTTATAATATTTTATTTTATTTCACCTCAATAATATCTAAACCATTAACGATTTTACCAAAAGTCTGTGGCAAATGGATTATGTCCGATGCCAACCACCCCTTCACACACACAAAAAATTCGAGCTATTAGTAACATTTCGATACAGCAGCTTCTCAAAAACAACAATGACTTATTAATTTCAACACCTTCAACACAAAATTTGAAAAAAAAAATTAATATTATAGAGCGAGAAAAGGTCGCATAAATTTAAAAAGCAAATATAATTTTGCGGAATACAAAAGATGCGCTTGCGAAAAAAGTGTTGCAGTTGGCTATAAAATTTTGGATATGAGGGGATATTATTGGACCAGATTATATAAATGTATAATTAAGAGGTAGGAATATTTTGAAGTTACTATATGATAGTAGCTCTAAATATATATTTATCGGTTTTAAAAATATAAATTTTAGTTGTACATGGAGTGTTTACAAGAAAATATTTTAGCTATTCGGGTTTTTGGGCTTCACGTAACAAGGTTTTTCGACTTGAGCCTTCTGGTCTGCGGTACATTTTCTTTTTAGGGAAAAAACGGTTCCTTTTTTTGTTTTGTGTATTACTTAATAATGCGAGTTAAAGTATCTTGATTTTTCGGGCCTCTTCCGCCTAGGGATCTCTAGAGAGAAATCGTCAATCCTTGGTATAGGGGTAAGTCAGAATACCTTTTTTGTAGCGACTCGTATGTAGTATATTTGCCCTGTTTATGATTACACGACTTACTTGAAATTATTGGATACTACGTCTATATTTAGCATGCCTGCATAAATAAAAGTGGACTGTATAATTTAAAAAACTGGTTCTATTAAAGAGAAAAATACAATTATTCTGCCTACGTGGCAGAAGGAAGCTTGCAACAATAGCTTTTTACAAAAATTTTAAAATTAAGCAACTTTATGAAAATCTGAAAGCAACAACTTTTTTTTAAGACAAAGACCAAACTTGCTTCATTGACGCATATTTTGTTGCTCACTTATAAGGCATTTTTGCTAATATATGTTTATAAGAACTTTCTGCCTTATTTTCACCTGTTAAAATATTTACCTCTAATTTTGAAACATCATGTAGATTGGTAGTGCCTACATATATTATTATGTTATTCTAAATTCTACAAAATCGACGATTAAATGGGTAATGTTTTTCAAAATTCTATTACCATTCAAAAGTGTTATTACATTTTAACAATTGTTTTTGGTTTTTTAAATATTCTCGAATAATCAAAATAGTACTTTTACCCCGTATACTGGTTATTTAGGAGCATAGGGTGTTTTGATTTAAACATTCTATGAGCACTTTGTTACGATCTTTACAATTCACAATAAAACAAATATCTCTTTCCATTTCCGAGAGAATGACTATAACTTTGTTTTTCAATTTATTAAATTGATGTCCAGTAATATATTAATCCGATAAAATAGAAAATAAAAACTTACTTGCACTTCTTACAAACTAAATCACTTTGAAGACCTCCGCTGAAAATCTGATCAATAATACACGGGCATTTTTCGCTTTCGCACTGCACATTACCGCTAATTTTTGGCATAGAATCTAAATAATGTTTATGAAGTACGTTTAAAGTAGCTATAAAAAATTCGTGTGCGTCTTGATGCTTATAACCAGCGAGATGCGCCGAATGTATCCAAGTTAAATGGAGTAATTCGTGTAGAGCTAAAGGAATTCGAGAACCCCTATAGAATTCCTAAAATATTTATATATATTTAAGTAAGTTCAACCAAAGAATACTTAAGAAGTGAATCTATATGGGTGATTCATAGATATTTTAGTAAGAATTTTGTTTTGACAGTCATTGTAATTTTGGTAGATGGTGTTTAATTCTTATTCGCTGTGTGCAAGACTGGTAGCGCTCTCTGGTGACGGGATAGCGACAGTTCTCCTCATTCATTCCCGCATACTTGCTATACACCTCACACTCAACAGTTGAACTTGAAAATTCTTTTTCAACAATTAAGTGTTGCAACAAGTTTTGTGTTCGCTGTTAGTTGATAGACTAACAAAAATTGTTTCTGTCGCACAAAAAGTAAGTAAATGACATAAAAATATTTGGAGGTTATGCATACGAAGTATCTGCGTTTTGAATGTCATAAATCAATGTAATTTGTCTGTATTTTTAGATGCTACATTTTTGTCACGAGTGTCATCTTGTACACTGGATTTGAGAAAATATCTCATGACATAAACTTTCAGCCTGAAACGCCAAGAAAAGGTAAAGATTTGGTAGAAGCTGGGCATGTCATAAATGTCGAAGAGCACAGAGAGTCAGGTGTTGGCCTTTTTATCCCAGCTGGTGTCATTAGACAAACGTCTTTCACGAAAAAAGAGGTTATGTTACTCACTTTTTTCTTTTCACAGCTGTTATCCATTTCTCTCTTTGCTCCCATTTATGTGATGCGGTTGGAAACGTATAAAACTTACACGCACTATTTTTGATAGTGTTTTTACACTCGACAACACTACAATAACGACGACTCATTTTAATACCCAACACGAGACCCACAATACGCTGCCACGCCACTACGATGATGTGGACAATCGCCGACTCCTGCCACCATAGGCGCTGCGATAGCTCAATCTATCCCCTCCAAGCCAAATGCACACAGCGAATAAACCAAACGGCACCAATTGATTGGTTTTCATATGTCTCCCAGTGTATCAATAGAACATTTACGTCAATGTAACTGCAATTTTGGTACATAAGAAAACTTATTTAGATTCACTTCTTGGGTAGGTATTCTTTGCTACAAATCAAATCGAACTGTCTGTTCGCTAGCAATATGAATATTTAACAGAAACTTAATGTACTGTAAACAACTTCCCAAAGCGCAACGATTTGGTAAATCGTTAAAAGAGGATAGATAAACAATGTATATTCGTCTAAAATAAGTTCACATTGCTAGCAAATGGAATTACCTATAAAGTAGACTATAGACTATAAAAAAATACCTGAAATATTTTAGATACTTCGCACACCAAACAAGCTCCAGATATTGAATTACAACTATGCCTTTCTGTTAGGAAATAATCTCTTAAGAATGGTGTATGTATTAATGCTTGAATTATGCAGTTAACGAAACAAGTTTTTCCTAAATTCAGTAACCCTCTCAAACCTATCGTAGATTCTGGAGTAATACATATCTTTTTAGTTTTGTGCTTTAATAAGTCGCGCTCCTCTTCAGTTGCATTCCAAGAAGTCCATTCAAACAACCTACAAAAAAAATATATACGTAAAATTACTAATTTAAATGATTCATTTAAAAACGAACACCTACCTTTTTCTAAATGTAATCGACTGCATTTTATTTTCCATAGTTATTTCATCTATTTCAGTATCGTAAATGTAATCATTACACGAAGCACAGTGTAGTTGGCCATATGTTATTTCCATTGAGAATATGTGTTTTTGATGTTTAACATGATCTCTGATGTGTTTATGACAACCGAAATATACACATTCCAAGCAAGCATGTAGGATCGGTCCTCGTTTTCTACACGTTCTGCAATAACTATTGCATATCTGCGAAATTTTAAAAATAAACAATAGTAATATATATGTGTTTTAAAAAGATTATAATAAAAGACGCTGATTCTGGGCCAAGCCAAAACCGTCATTTTTTATGTTAAATCCCACAAGAAATTTTAAGATTCATTCAGGAGGAAATTGAGACGATTTCAAGGTTACTCTCAAAGCGACCGGTCAATCTATTTGCCGAAATCTGCAGGTGCAAATATAATAATCAGATATTTTAAAAAGTATTTATAAAAGGGGACAACCAGTATAGTTTCAAATTAAACTGACAAACTTATTTTAAAACAATTTTTGCGAAAGCAAAAAGAAACATGTTAATATTTCGAAATATATAGTAAGTTAATCAGAGCACCAGATAAGTAATTTTATACCAAAGCACATTTGTTGACTCAGCTCTAAAAACACTTGGCTGCAAGAGTGTATTTTGCCGGGGCTGCAAGAGTGTATTTTGCCAGGACTGGCAAAAGTAAGGAAGCTATCATCGAAAATTGTCAGAACGTCGAATCTCAAAGTTGCAACCATACGACTGGTTAAAAAATTAATAGGAATACCTTTTAGGAGAGCTGTCATGATTGAAAGGGGCCTTGTTGAGAAAAAATTATAACATTTTAGTCCGAGTAAGAAGGTTTTTCAACTCGAGCCTTTTGATCTGCAGTATATTTTCTTTTGTTTTGTGTATCAGTTAATAATGTGAGATAAAGTTGTCAACCCTTGGTATAGGGGTATGTCAGAATTGAAGTATTACATACAATACTGCAATTTTTGTAGCAACTCGTATGTAGTATACTGCCGTGTTAATTCAAATGGCCGTATCTGTTTAATACTTGAACGCGAGAAAAATAGATTTTTCTGTTTTTTCTGGGCCATCCTGGTTTTTCAAAAAATTGATGCATTTATTAAATGGTATTTGTTTTTATGTTACAAAATATAGTGCAACACAAAGTAGAAAAAATCGTGCTTTTGACAGATACGCCTTTTTCATCTACATTGTTCATGCTTCCTCTATATTCAAGGAGGCGTAACTACATGATTTATTGAAATTATTTTTTTTTTTGACAACTTTTTTAACAAAATAAACTTAACAGATTTATAAATAAAACTAAAAAATGTGATTTATATAATATTTATTTGACCTATAAAAAATATCAAATGGCACTCCACAACTTAAAAATTTATAGTTTTTCTAGTAATTCTGCATGAAAAAAAAAAAAAAAACGTAGGTGATTTAAATGAATTTTGGGAAAGTCTTACAGTTCTTACAATTAATCGTCCTTAATTGATTCTTAATTATTGTTAACTGGAATTTCAGTCGATTCTCTGGGATTATTGGACCAAGTCTTTTATTATTGTTTTTACTGTCCTTGATAAGAAGAAAGTATTTTAAAATTTTCACGTTTCAGGGTCCCTAGATTACGAAAAACTTTTTCCACATTACGCCGGTCTATCTGTCGTCGTCTGTCTGTTGGCGCGATAGCCCAAAAACGGCTTTAGAGAAAAACTTCAAATTTTGTATACAAATAAAGTACCTTTTTGGCTCAAAACCAGTTATACTTCCGGTTAGTTATATACAGGGTGAGCAGTTTTAAACAATAATTTATTTTTAAAAGTCGGCAGATTTTGACTAAAATTGAGTATTGTAGAAGTCAAAGATAACAAATCCCAAATAAGTTTTAAAAAATTCAAAAAGGTTTTGAAAGGAATAGTATTTAATCAAAAAAGATACCCCTTGAATATAATTAATAAAAAGCGTCCTTTTGGTTTGTGTGACTGGACAACCTTAAAAGCAGACAATCATTATAGTTCAATAACGGTGAAAAAGGGTTTTCTCGATTTTCCTCTTGATCCGATCCGAACTCTTACTTCGAGTGCGCTCGATGTTCTTCGTCACATTCGTAAAATATAAGTGCTTAGGGGTTTCCTGTTTTTACAATTTCTGTATCGTGGGAAGATCTTAGTAACATATTTTACCGATTTTTTTCTCTACGCGGCAGTAGCTGGAAATAACCTAAAATAAAGTTAGGTGAAAAAGCTGCATCTATGATAATCTTTGCATTTACGGCTTTTATCACTCACATGGTAGTTGCTGCTTGTGACGAAGTCACTAAATTTTGCTCTCAATTAATTTAAAAAAATGTTAATTTCAATTAATTCCCGCCTGAGGACATGTATTTCTGTTTCCCAAAAATTGCCGTTTTTCAACAATTGCGAGTACCCTCGTAGATTAAAATATTCCTATATTTGCCGAATTCCGAATGGGCATTTTGTAGAGTCGATTTCGTACCGATTATCTACTTTTATTTGTCAAGGTACTAGAAGGACATTTTTTTATTTTTAAATTGTAAACAGTCGGCTGTAGTAGTGGTATCCCCACTCACGTTTACCGAAAAGCATAAATTCAATGACATCTGGAAATTACGCCCTCTTGCTTGCCGGCCGCCGTAAGCTCTTTCTCTTGATTGCCGACAGCCGAAAACTATTCGCCCTTCTATAGTGCCTAGTGAAATACTCCGTGAGTGCCGTGATTTCGAAAAATCATTGAATAACCCCGTTTATCTTCTAAGGTAGGAACCGTATATTATTTTTTTTTTTTACTGACTTTTATATAATTAGTTGGGACACCCGTGCGACAAGTCAAAAATTTTGATTCATATCCAGGATATTTTATTTCATCCCTCAGTGGGAAACCGTTGGCAATTTTTTTTTGAGGCTGGACATAGGCTAGACTCCGAGTGCTCTCTTTGTCAACGACTATATCCAATTTCTCTTAAAAACCGCCCAATTAACATCGAAGTGAGAGGTTCAACCTGTTTTCAATTTTTTTTTATTATTATATTGTTTTATTTTCTTTTTCGGAGGTTCGATCCGTTCCCGGATTAGAGTGCTCTCTCTCCTAATTTTCCAAAAAGACGTTTAAATTAATTTCCGCGCCTCACTTCGCGAAAAATTTCTTTTCTTTAAATTTTTTTTTATTCAGCTGTATTTAAATCATTCCATTCCCCGTCCACAATTAGTTATTGAATGAAGCCAGACGACTACTGTAAAATTAAATTCACACACGCTCTCGATCGACTCTGGCCAAATTTCAAAGTATTATTTTCTACGATCATCGCCTCCGCCGTCCAAAACACCGCATGAATACCCATGTTTCTCACTAGACGAAAATTTTCGCTTTCCATCGCTCGTGGTTAAGATACGAGGGGGTTCCGAGAACTTTGATTTCATTTATTTACTTGCATTTGATTACCGTCATATTTAAATTGTTTTCAAGTGTATTAATTTATTCTTAATAATTTTTCCGTATATAGGGAGTTTCATAATTCCCGGACCGCTTAGCATCCTGTGCTAGCGAACCGTAATTATTTCTCAATATTTAAATTGTTTTCAAGTGTATTAATTTATTTTGAATAAATTTTCCGTATACAGGGAGTTTCATAATTCCCGGACCGCTTGGCCTCCTGTGCTAGCGAACCGTAATCATTCCTCAATATTTAAATAGTTTCAATTGTAATAATTTATTTTTCATAAATTTTCCGGATATAGGGATCCATCAATATTTAAATAGTTTTCAATTGTAATAATTTATTTTTCATAAATTTTCCGGATATAGGGATCCTCAATATTTAAATAGAAGCCTGTCGCATGCTTTTCGATTTAATAAGAGTCAAGTAAAATCACTTACTGGCTAATTTTTAATCTTCAAATCACAGGTTTTCTAGCAGATACGTCCATGAAAGTTATAGAGATTAATAAAAAATACATTGTTGCCATGAGTAGTGGTCATACCTTTATTTCAAGGAAGATTGTAGTTATGGCCATTTGAATTAACAGGGCAATACTTGCCCTGTTTTATTATTATATGACTCTCTGAATATATTTTTGGAAAAGTTATGTATTTATGTATTTGGGTAATAGCACTTTATTTATAAATAATCATTCCAGCTGAACCACCCAGTAGGGCTAATTAAATAAATGAAGTAGAAAGAATTGGGGTGGAAAAAATAAGTAAGTACCTATTTTTAGTAAAAGTACAGTACATTTTAATATCAAACCAATATAAATAATAATGTAGAAATAGTATAAAGTCTATTACTATTACACAAGACTGAGGACTTAATTTTGTGGAAGAGTGTTCAATAAGAAGCCTTATCTTAGGATATCTCTCTCCAGTTTTTTTATAATATAGAGCAATAAGATTTAAACATCCAAAGGAACTCCTAAAATAGCAACAGTTGTTAAACATCATGTTTCTTTTCCTGTATATATCTAAGCAAGGTAAGATTTTAATCTAGCCAGACTTTCTATAAATAAAATACCTACCACCTCTTTATTTTGGATTGTAATAAATTATTATCTATATTGTCATCTATCTTTGACAAAGGTGTGTAAATGGAGTACACTATAGATGCAAGGCATTAAGAAGATATGTCTGGTAGGTATATCAATAATGTCATAGCTATCTCTCATAAGCATAGCAGACTACTGCTTGTCAATGAAACATATTTTAAAATGGAATAGAGACAATGTAGACAACAGAAATAAATTGCATAAACAAAAAACTTGTTTAATACATTTTATTTTAGTACATTTAGGTACCTGGTAATACTGTTCCATTATTAAGTATAATATTTATATTATTATCTGTAGTCATATAGCTTCCATTAATATTATAGGTATGTAATAAAAATTAAGTCTTACCTTTGCTTTTCGGCTTTTGGGATTATCAGATACCACAAATACAGCATGGATCCATTTCAATGTATCTAATTGAGAGGATTTTTTCTTAAAATTATGAATGTGATGGCAACTTTTCGAACTCATGTTTTTATAAATAATATCAATTGCAATAGGACTACTTAAAATAAATATTAAATGTAGCAAAAGTTTTCTGTTATAAAAAGAAATATAATTTATCTTGAATCTTAACTTCTGTCAAACGCACGCAAAAGATGTTTACATGTGACATGTGACAATAATAATGCAGGGTTGTCGCTTTTACAACTCCTGAGTCAACTGTCAGTGTTCATCCTCCGAGCCGAGCGTGTCAACCGATGTTTGTAAATCGATTCCACTGAACTGTATCGATTTTCGATTTATTAGGTTTGTTGAGACACGCGCGAAAACCGTAAGATTACGGTACAAATCAGTCAATCTACACAAAATTTGTATATAGGGCATGATTTGTACCGTAATATTGTCATTTTCGCGTGTATTGCAACAGACCTCTTGATACTAAAAATTTTAGTATTACTTGGTGATTTTTGCATTTAGAACTTGGTAATTTTAATTTAATCTGTCTGGCAACACTGTTCTGACGTGTCATTACGTTGACACATGGCAGAACATTGACACATAAATTGTGTATTCTAATTTTTCTACGTCAAGTATCTGATAATTTTAAAGAAGCCGATCAAAAAGAAATGTAACTTCAAAAATGACGACGTCTAATAAAAACGTAAGTAAATCCGAATATTATTTTATCACAGATATTTACGTGTTACATTGTTTTAGAATTTGGGAGAACTAGCCATTGAGGCTTCTGAAATTGTGAGTAGATTAGAACAAATAGCCGAGGGTGTTACTGTTGCTGAAACTGCACACAATCAAACTACGGTTTTCCTTGGTTTAGAAAAAAGACATACCGATGAAATAATTAAAATAATACATGACCTTATAAGTACTGATGAAGATGGTGAACCTTTCAGTTTTCTTTCTTTAGACAGTGTAACCAAATTGGTAATGATATCTCATACGTTGGCAGTTTATTGTGGCAGTTTAGAGAGACCAATTTTACAAAAATTGAGCACAAGGTTTACTACCGACACAACCAGATGGATAACACAGCTATTTGGGTATGGGAATCAAATTAATATATTTAATTAAGTAAAATCTCTTATACATCAAATATGTTCATAGATTTTTAGATTGTCATGCCTTTTATCATGAAGATCATTTAGAAGGTTTAGTAAGGGTTACAAAAATGATGCTGCATTCTAAATTTCCTAGATATTCAGAGGATGGTGCTCTAGCTTTTACAAATTCACTTCCAACTATTTACAATAGTGTTGCTAGTCCTCTGGGAACTGTGCAACATCTTTGTAGGCAGCTAGGGTTGCCTCTGGATTGCATTAGACCAGTGCCTATGAATACTTACTTTGGTAGGTAAGGTTTAATAAAATTGTAAATGTTCATTGCTTGTTTTTATAAACAAACTGTTATTTAAAATCTACATACCTAATCTCCTCCTTTGAAAGCCCAAATACAACCGTCTCTAATTAATACACCTTTATCACCAGTAGTTTTAAGTAAAGTTCTTCTAAAGTTGGATATACCACCAAGAACATATTCTATGCATTTTAAAAATAAAATATCCTTAATTTAAAGTTATAGGTGCCAACCTAATAATTGTATTTTTTATCAAAAGAATTAATGAAAATGTAAGAACACAGAATATGCTTCTTTCCTTATTTTCAATGAATTTTTTAACACATTTTGGTTTCAGCTATTTTATAGTTTATATGGTGTTTTAATGTTGGCTTTCCCATATAAACTTACAACATTAATACTTGTTTCCTGTTCACACTCACTCTCTGTAGTGTTTATTTGGATATTAGCAAAGCGTATTGGATATCATGCAATAGCTGATACTGTATAAAATCTTTCTGCCGATCCTGCTCAGTGCTACCTTGCCAGGTAGTTATTTGCTGGGTGCAATCTAAATAAATTCCAAATAAAAAAATTAACATTGTAGATAAAATTTTATTGGAAATAAGCATATATAATTGTTGAATAAAAATGGCGCTACGGATTCTTTTTTGCAAAATTTTTCTTTGTTAGAATTGGAATTACTTTTGAGTCAATATCAATGGGTAAATGAATGTTTGGAAAATTTCAATGGCTTGTAGAGTATGTATCTATTCAATAAAGAATATTAATAATAAAATATACATTTTTTAATTGCACAATGTTTCAAAATATACCAATTTAAAAAAATTTAAATAAATATTATTCTTGATTGAAATAAAGCCAAATATTAACATATGGATTAAGAATAAGACTTATTTGCTAACATGGATGTATTTTCTATGTATTTTATGATATAAAAACAAAGCAAAAAGTATGGTTCAATAAAAAAATTTGTTATTTATATTTCTGTATAATTTTAATATGGTTATTTAATAATATAGATTTACCTGTCAAATGTGCTGTGTGAAGCTAGCCAGATAAAAGTTTTAGTTTTAAAAGTGGGATGCATTTGATCCAGAGATGACGAGGAGATGTAACTACTAACAAATATGCAGTCCTGAATAAGACATATTCTAAGGGACACAGGCGGGTATAATATCCGCTGTTGTCATATGCCTATTTCATTATTCTCGTTTTGGCTACAAAATTATTTACATATTATATTAAAAAAGCTAAAATAATTCAACCTATTTTATTGCAACTGAACCAAAAAATTTTGAATCATTGGTTATATTAAATTTAACTAAATTATGTGTAATTTCACTAAATTAGATGTAATCATTTTCAATAAATACCAAAGCCTACTCATGTTAGGTTGGAAGTGGCAACAGGGCTTACACCGACATGGACATTTACGTTGTTTATTATAGGCGCACAGTCGCTTACATATTTATTCATTGATAAAAATAAGTTGTATCTGCGTAAAATTCTTTTCTTTGTCCCTTCTCTTACTTCTCGTCGCCTCATCCCGCGTCTACAAATAGAGTGTATCGATTCTCGAATTAATGTTGGCATCGTGAATATTATATTTTATCAATGAATGATTACATCTCTGATTTGACCATATATTTAATCATTTTAGACCAGTCATTCGATTTTTTAACTATCCATTAAAATAATTTCAAGAGGTCAATTATAGAAAAAAAAAATTCAATCAACGGGAAGGAAATTGTATTTTTCAAATATTCACTCTCTTTAGGCTCATATTAATTATTTTAGGAGGTAGTCAAACGTCGAAACAATTCTATGTACCTTTATTGTGCCCTTATGTTAATTGACTATTTTTTCCAAATCAAAATTAGATTGGGAAATTGTGTCTTTAAAATTATTTTAGGAGGTGGTATGTACATAATTGTAAACGTCTTTGAATCTTAATTCTGCCTTCCTGAGGATTGATCACATTTTTTTTAAAGTTGAGATTCATCCTTTACTTTTCTTATAATTTACCGTTCGAAATTATTTTAAGGCGTGGTTAAAAAAAATCTAATGGGTGGTCAAACAAACTTCACACAACTCATCAAATGCGTCCACATAGCGTCAAATTGTTAGAGTAGAAAACTCTTAAAAATTATTGCTCTGGTTTTATGTAGACCTCAAAATAACAAATTTGGGACCTACATTTTTGGATTGAGCACAAACATAGGCAACCCTAGTTGACAGCCTCCTCTTTAACAATAACTACTGTTGCCTTTGTTTGAACTTACTCCAAAACTGTATGTTGTTATTTTGACGCCTGCCTAAAATCTGATCATTCGATTTTTTTGATTGGCTCTTAGAGTATTTTAGATTTAATTTTATTAAAAAAAAAAACATGTTTAAGTTTGAATGTTGAAATTTATTTTATATCTTTGCTGTTTTCCTTTATTTATAATTCAATGCCTATAAAGGTATTAGTCAAAAGAGTATTGTGACATTTTGGATTTATTTTGTATTTTTGATATTTACTTTTCTAATAAATTTAATCGAAAAATCAGAATATACCAACTGGGCCTTATTTTAGGTTCGCAGTATACGATGGACGTCTCAGCATTACAAAAAATAATATCCGATGACGTTTCTGAAGGTAGAGTACCACTTATCGTTATCGCCGATGCGGGTACTCCTATAACCGGCCATATCGATAGCATTTATAGAATAAAAGAACTATGTAAAGTACATGGCGCTTGGTTACATGTAAGAGGACATAGTTTGGCTGCTTTGGCCCTAGCCAACTCTCATCAAAGAAATGGAACGGTAAACATATTAAATGGAGAATTCCCTTTTTATTTTAGAAATATAGGTTTCATTTTTAATTCATACCCGATTTTTCGAACTAAAATTATTTCAGTTGTGATTTTTAAGTTTCTAGTTTGATATGTGGCAACGTTGTCTAGTAATTGATAGCTGTAAAGGGTTTAATACAATTAGATAAAAGGGTGTCATTTCTAAGAATATGATTGGCATTTTCTCTTCCTGTTTTTCAGGCATTCCTCTGCTTTCTCCCCTAAGGAGTACAGGCTTCCCCCAAGTCTCAGGTCCCAGTCTGCTTCTACTTAAGGCGGCAAAATTGACTTAAAATAGCGTTTGTTTTCATTATTTAACAAGGTGTTAATAATCATGCTTTTTATAGTAGTATAGAAAAAATTGTTTTCGGAAGAGTGACAAGAGACATGATTAGACATGCAATATAACAAAAATATTCATCTATTACTATATGTAATATTAAGTCATTTCTTGAGTTTCCAAAAACAGACAATATAATACTTTTAAAATTGCAAAACAATATTTTATTTAAAAAAAAACACGAGAACGCGGATATATATATTTCCCACTTTGGGAGATGTTCTACGCTCGTTCGAGCAACAGGTTGAATTGATCGCCGTGAAACATCACATGCAATGTTTATGAGAATTTTGAGTGTCATTACATAATATAATTTGTTTTAGTCTACTCGGACTGTATGAAATGTATTGGTTTTTTCGATATAAAGGTGGCTGTAAATAGAAAGTGTTTTTAAACGAGTTCGAAAAATGAAATACCTATAGAAGGTGTTAGTATGAACCTATACGAAGGTTTTAGATATGTATGCTTATATGATATGCCTATAGAAGATGTAAAAATTGAAGTACCTATAATGGTATGAGAATGAAATAAGTTGTAACTATAGAAAAGGTTTAAATAAATGTAAAACAAAGTACCTCTAGACGGTATGCGTGTGTAATATGTGTGTACTTATCAGTGACGGCTTGTGAGCTGCGAAGGTGGGGGAGTCGCCAATTGGCTTGAGGGTGGGGATTATGAAAAATTGTTTTTTTTTTTATTTTTTCATTAACATAGAAAAAATGCCACACTGCGCCTTGTCAATAGTCAATAAACAAAATGAAATATATTTCTTATAGTAAAACATCTAACAAAAAATTATTCTAAAAAAAATTATATTTAATCGACATATTTATGTTTTTAATTTTTGTTTTTACGAAAGTTTAGTGGATGACTTCCTGAAATTGAATTTGCTCTACGATCCTTCATTGGAATACATTTTTCCCTGACTTTTTTTTGTCGAAATTATCTATAGAACTAATTTCCTGTTAATTGATATCATAGCTAAGGGGTTTAGGCTCTCATTTACCACGGTGCTTCGTAAAAATTCCGTGAAAACTATAAAACAACTTTAAAAAGCAGAACAGCGCCTGACCCCTCATCATCTAAATTCTAAATGTTGGCAGGCCACGAAAAAATTGCACCCTGCCGACTACAAGACAAGACGCGGGCCTCTATCTTACTGCGGCCGATGTTAGTCCAGTCAATGAGTTCATAAATTGTTATTATAGGAAGGATTTGGAGGGGACATAATAAATAACACTCAGCATGTGTCGAGCAATAGGAAAAATTATAAAGTAAATAAATAATATTTTTAATTAGGATTTTATTCTCTGCTATCTTTCTGTAATCTTTTTGTAATTATAGAAAAGGTTTAAATGAATATAAAACGATAAGCATATCTATAAGGGGCATTAAACGATATAAAAATTGAGGTACTTATTAAAGGTATGTGCGAGTACCTCTAAAAGGAGCGTATGAAATGCTATTGTTTGATCCGGACAAGTGAGGTTAATGCGCTATAATAAGAAGTATCCCACTGATTGGGTAAAAGCAGCAACACAACACTGAATTCAAAAAGTTTTTAAATTTGTATTTAGGTTGCTTTAAATGAATGTAATTGTTGAAGTACCTATAGAGGTTGTAAACAAAATATTAAACTTAGAGTGGCCTATAAGTGGCTTCAAACGAATATAATTAGTTTTGGCTTAGGAGTGAATTTTCTGTGATACTTACAAAATATAAAAAATGGATATTTGAGAACCGATGATGGATTAAATTACAAAATATTAAAAAAGATTGATTAAGAACCACTGATGGGTTAGTACAAAATATAAAAATGTTTTAGAACTGCAGATGGGTTAGTTACAAAATATAAAAATGTTTGAGAACCGCTGATGGGTTAAGTACAATTTATAAATATGTTTGTGAACCGCTAATGAGTTAGTACAAAATATAAAAATATTTAAGAACCGCAGATGGTTTAATTGCAAAATATAAAAATGTTTAAGAACCGCAAATGGGTTAAGTTTCAAAATATAAAAATTGTTTGAGAAATACAGATGGGTTAATTGCAAAATATAAAAATGTTTGTATAATATTTGAAAAATTTAACACCAATTTGGAGTGTATACAGCATTGAACATTGAAAAAGTAAATGCAACATTTACTAATTAAGAGTAATTACTTGTTGCTAAAATATGCATTGAATTTAATATAAACATGGTAAATGAGAAGTAAAAAAAATTAGAATTGTACAATACTTGCATGTCCTTGAAATAACTTTGTTTTAACGAATAATTTAAAATTATTATTTGTTCACTTTTAATTAAAAACCGAAAAATGTTTGAGAGTCTGGAACGATGATGATGAAAAGATTTTCATGTTGGAAAAAGACAGTTTATGCTGAAGAATCCCACGATGAAGGACCATATTTATGTATAGCTTCACTATAACTTTTATCCTTCCATTTTCTTCGCGTACACGGCAGAAGCACTCTTGTCACCGACCGAAACACACCTAACTAAACGGCTTGCATTGCCAAGCTACACTGCCATGTTGGAATTTAGTAATTTTTGGCTAATATTGCAGTAAATGGCTGTGTGGTCAATTTTCTTTCACAAAAATAATAAAAGTTTGAATAAGAATAATTTCCTGACCGTAGTAAAATTTTATATAATAAAAAGTACCTTGGTTTATTCGCTTAAATTATAAAAAATAAAAACTATTTGAACGAATAACCCAAGGAACTTTTTATTTATACAATAATAAAAGTGTAGTACAAATTCAGTAATGTAAAAACTCGTTTTATATGGGTTAATAGAAGAATAAAGGTTATAGCGCAGCCGGTGAGTTTTAATCTTTAATAACTCAATGTTATATCCAAAAACCAGTGCATCTTATTTAGTCCGCTTAGTAGAATACAATTTATATTGTGTAGAGAATGACATTCAACATTCTAATACACAATGAATGACAAATAGTGCACTATGCACAAAGGAAACATTGTAACCAAAAATCTTTAACCTAAAACCCAGCTGGGAAGTATAGCTATCAGTATTAACTGATAGAAAAGATGGACGCCATTTTTCTAGTGCAATACTTGAATAAAACAAATTAAATTCTAAGAAACAACCGTACATGGTTACCACATATCAAAGTAGAAACAAAACATTTTAAAATTACATAATTGACTTTCTTTCTCAATTTTAACTGCCTAGTAATTATTATTTTTTTTTTTTTTTTTTTCATATGAGAATTCTCCATATTTCTTTTTAGAATTTTGATCAATATTTTGCTATACATAATTTTTGACATTTAATTCCAAACATTATTTTTTAGATCCCACCTATATCTGATAGTTTAACATTAACCCTTGGAAGTTGGTTAGGAATTCCAGGATTACCGATGATTGTATCCTTTAGACAAAAAAAACTATTTTCCATACGTAATATTTAAATTGATATCATGCTGTAATTTTAAATGTAATTTTTTTTAAAATTTGTTTTCCTCAACACCAAACAGACCCTTTATAGGATATGGGATTCCCTAAACAATCCCAATCGAAGTAAGCAAGTTGGTGTCAGTAGAGAAAGTACTCTTCCCTTTTTAGCTGGTCTAAATACAGATCACTTGAGTAGGAGGATTCTAGCTTTACCTCTGTGGACCGGACTACAAAGTTTAGGAACCGAAGGAGTACATTCCAGGATAAAGGAGGATTTTTTGGCTAGTGAAAGGCTGTGGACGGCTTTGGATCGATTTAGGCAAATCAGAGTTTTGGTAAAAATATTTTTTCTATATATATATTTGATCTAAGTAAAGTACATAGTGTTTTATCAATGTTGGCTATTTTTTTCTTGACTCGTAATTTACGAATCTCAACCTCCTGCTTTCAGTTTTGTTGCTTTGGTACTTATAACTAAATTTGTTCCTGTTTCTTTTTTTATTATTTTTCTTCAGTAACAACTAGAAATTCTATAACGAATGTACACTTCTCATTGAAGCACCCTGTGTAAATATAAATATCGTCTTAGTTTCACTTTTTTTGGTTGGTTCTTAACTCGCGATATTCTTCTCTTTACAGAGCCCAAAACCAGGTGGAGAAAGCGGTACCTACACAGTATCTGAATTAATTTCCAAACCAACCACCATACCTGTAAGTCATTACATTCCTCCAACTTTTGCTCTCTAATAACAAAAATAAATATTTCAGGTATTATTAGAATCGATAGCTTGCAGTGTGGTGTTTCAATTCATCCCAGAAACAACCAACGACGACTATCAATCTAAAGTACCGTCGTACTATGACAAATTAAACTCGTGGTTGGGTCAAATTTTGCAATTGGACGTGCCTCAAGTACCGATTGATATTTGCGAACTCGATAATATCGGCGTGGTACTGAGATTCTGTCCGTTCGAGAACGTGGTTGGTCAACAACCTTCCGTTGACGAAATGCAGGGCTTTATAGCTTGTCTCGAACAACAGTTGGTTATTTTGAAAGCGACTGTGCATCATAGGGAGAGTTTTGTCAAGTTGGTAGACGCTTCTCCGGTACTGAAGATTGTTGATTTACCAGATTGGGCAGGTAAGTAATAACAGTTCATTCTTAAAAACGACATTAAGATCTTTTAGTAGATAATATTATACTTCAGTCTCGATCGTTTGCAACACTGAATATGGTATGAATTTAGCAGTGTTTTATGATGAGTATAACACACTTTTTTACTTTCTTTTTAACATAAAAATAGTAATACTGTCTTTTGTCTCTTTATTGAAGCAAAGGATCTCACTGATGTTGCAACTTAATAATTTATATGGTTAAAAGATCTAGCCGATTAGCATGGGTATAGAAAGCATTTCCTTTATATTATTTAAAAAATACACAATTTCGTGAGAGTTTGCCTCATCAAAAATTGCCAATATTCTTCTCACGTTAAGTGGAAAAATAAAGTTCTATGTTTGAAATTTCATGTTCCAAGTCAGCGAATAAAATCTTTCAGTGGTTTTTAATCCAGCACGTTTCCATTTTAACATTATTGTATATATTGTTTCTGTTTTACTTTTCTGTCTGTATACAGAAGGAAATTATAGGAATCATGATTTGTTTTAACTTCGAGTTTTCGGTGGATTTTTACTTTTTGGGGTTCCCTGAATCCGTTTTGATTATTTTCGTGATTGTGGGTGTCTACAATAACTCTTGAATGGATACAGAGAAACTAAATTTTAAACCTCATCCTCTAATGAGTTGATTAGATTTTGGGCACAGTTGGAGCATTTGGGGGCTACTTTACAGGGGGTCGTTTTTTTACTTTAAGAAATATCTGTTATTTCTTGTGAAAACAATCAAATATGTATAACTACTCGCAGGATGTTTTGCTTTAAAAAAAGTATACGTTTTATCAGCCCTCGTTTATGACCCACCCTGTATATTTAAGACTAATTGTTGATATTGTCCTACAACTTTTATAATTTTTTTTTTTCGTATTTCCAATCATAAAACAGCTATCATGGCAACCCTGTATATGTGTTACTAACATGTGGTGTCATTGGATAGGTAAATTTTTAAGGAATTTTAGCTAAAATAATATATAATATAATTACATTTCAAAAAAATTAATGTTTAAATCTGAATTTTAAACAATTTTGTAAACCTACATAAATCATGATAATTTAATTTGGGGTGTCTGCATTATTCGATAATTGCTTAAAAAAATTAATTGCCTTGCAACCCAGTAATATTTTTAAAAAACATTCTTGGATTGAATACAGTATTACTACATCATTCTAAAACTGAAATAATACACAGGGTGTTCTATTTAAAAAATATAAATTTTTATTTACTAGCAAAAAACGCAACACACTGTATATTCAAAATGTACTTTTCAAATCCATATAACTTTTACTTGAAACTTGTTTGCGTGTCTATAATACAAATTGAAATATTGACCAATTACGCACTAATGGGACACCCTATATAATAACACTCAAAAAAAAGTTCCGAACACAAATAGAAAAATTATATAACTGAAACAAATAGCTATACATGTGTACAGGGTGTTTTATAAGGAATGGTAAATATTTTAACCATAGGTTAATATTTTGCTAAATGTTATCTACTTCTGAGATAGATTAAAGTTAAAATGTATTTTTCGTTTTTTTTTTGCAATATTTTCGTTATTATTTAACGTATTGACTTAAAATTTGATATGCTTAAGTTTTTGGACTCAAGCAAGTTATTAATTTTGAGATTAGACAAAGAGGGCTACTCTCTACTGGATGAATAAACTATTAATTTTTTTGTTCTTGGCATTTATGTAAATTTGAATAAAAAATGTATAATTGTTTAAATAGCATAAATTCAACCTATTCCGATTGTATTTACACTGATTTCCAGAAGGCATGGATAAGGTAAATTATGATTTTCTCGTATCTAAACTGAATTATTATGGTCTTAGCGATCACCTAATACATTTTATCTTGTCTTATCTAAAACTGAGGTCTTAATACGTAAATGTTTGGTGGCGAAGGATCTAATATGATGTACACAGGATCTGAGTTCCGTTAAGGCTCTAATTTCGGCCCTCTACTTTTCTTAATATTTGTCAATGATTTCCCTCTATGTATTACATTAAACTGCCTCATGTGTACAGATGATCTAAAATCTGAAAGTTTTTAATAAAATATCCTCCCCCTAGATTACTATCTAGAATCTAGACCTTCAAAATGACAGACACTATTTCGAATTGCTCATTAGAAAATAAATTACTTTTTAATCTATTCAAATGCAAGGTAATTATACTCTTTGGCAAAATTTTATCTACACAGCACTAGGGCGAGTGTCAAAAATGGCCGACTAGGGAATAGTTTTTCAAAATAATTTTAAATTTGATGAGCATGTGCTTATAATATTACCAAAGAAGCTAACAAATTGTTAGGATTTCTGAAACGTACGACTTGGGTCTTCACATACACATATTCAATTAAAAATTTATACTGGGGTAGAATTTTTTTAATTTTTCAATAAATTTGTTTCACCTTGGGTGTTCAAAAATAATTTTTCATTATTTTGTAGGGGTGAATATTGGAATTTGTTTGGAAATTTTCTGGGAAATTATATAAATTTATTTTTCTCATTCATAGCCAATTAGAATATACGTCCATTGTATGGGACTCTAAACAACAAAATATAAAACAAATTTTGGAAACTATTCAAAATAATTTTATCAAATTCTTCAAAAAGTATCATACAAGTTAAGGGTTTGTCTCTTTTGAACCTATTTGAAAAGAGTTTAAAATTGAAACATTGGAAATTAACTATGTTGATTAGATATGTATTTTTGTTGATTTGTCCTTCCTATTAAAATAACTAAAATATTCTCTCAAAACGTTACATAATTAATAAATAGAATGATATTTGATTTGGTACAATATTATCAAACTGTTAAAAAATTTAATTTGACAGACTACTGTAAATACGTTTATATTCTAATTGATTATCAGGTGTTTTATTTTCATCTTTAGGTTTAGGCGGCGTCCGATATTGTCCGGAAGGTTGGGAACAACTCCTAACTGATCAAGCCAAAGAAGAACTCAACCACTTAAACATGGTCCTCGTAGATACGCTACGAGAAACAGACGCTGCTTTTTCATTGGGCGAAGGCGTCGACGGGTTGATGTGCGTCCGATTCGGGATGTTGACGCCTGAATCAGACGTCGACAAATTACTGGATTTAGTTATACGTGTGGGACAATCTGTAGAAGAAAATTCGAAGGTGTTGGATTCTATGAGCGAAATTGTTAAAAAAGGTAATAATATAGTTCTCAAAAATTGTACATTTTTTCTTGAAGATATTTTCTGGAAATTTGTACATAAAACATAATTATTTAAAAAATGTCATGTTCTTCTTGAGTGCATACAATGTTGTATTTTAGGAATTGAAACGGCAACCTTAGATCTCCAGAAAGAAAACGAGGAAAGGCTGTGGCAAGAAGGCATCGTTCGACATATCCCGATAGTCGGCACGTTCGTCAACTGGTGGGCGCCGAAACAGAAAGAAGCCGGCGGAATCCGAGGTCGCAGTCTTAACCTTACGCAAGGCGTCGTCGAATCCACCGAAAACATTTACAAGTACCACATGCAAATGGGTCAAGGAATAGCGACGGGTGGAATTACTCCGCCCGCTCCTCAAATTCAAAAACCCATCGGTGTTAGTCATTCGAGGTCGAGCAGTCACGCTTCGGCGTCAAGTCAACAATCCGCCGTCAAACTTGACGGGGAAATGACGAAATTGAGTTTAGAGAACCATTTGGATAAAGTCGATAATAAGGAAATAATAGAAACTAATGTTGCCGCTCCTAGCTAAATAGCATCGTTTTCAGTCGAGAGTCATTTAATTAATTAGGGTCTTATACATATTTTTTTATGATAGCGGTTAAGATGTAAAACAAATTTTATTTTTCGTGTTCCAAATATCTTTATTATAGCTTCGATTATAATTTTGTTTATATGAAAATATATTGTTGTTTGATCGATGATTCGATCAATTCACAATGCTTACAAACTGAATTTTATAATAGTTTTTGCCTACATAGTCCACCGGAATTAGATAAAAAATTACTCTGAAATGAAAACGTTTAATACAGTATAGAGACCCAAATAACAATGAATATTTTGACTTTTTCACAAAAGTTCACTATGCGAAGAGATGAGAATTTATATATACATTTTTCGACGTTTTTTTTTTTTCTCTCCAGTTTTTATATTTTATTTTCATGAAAACGCATCGTTTTTGAGTAAAATACAAAAAACTTGGGAAAAACGCCAAAAATGTATTAATGTATAATATATAATACCTTCTTCCGATCATGCTCATCTCTGCGCATAGTGAATTTTGTCAAAACTTTCATTGTTACCTGCACGAAAAAGTTCGCCTTATAAACCTAATTCCGGTTGGAAAACATTCCGGTTGGAAAACATTCGCTCTAAACAAATCACAGTTGGAATCTTCTGTCATTTTTTTTTATATCGTATATCTCTATTTCTAACAAAGTGCTCGCTTTTCTGTTTTGCATTAATTCTTGCGATATAGACTGCTAAATATCTATCCAACTCTTTGGTGATTGTCATAATGATCTTCGGCACTCTATTGCCTTTTATTGTAACTCTAATAACTCTTTTCAGGTTTCATTCATTCTGTTGTGGACGATAAAACTAAACACGATAAGCTAATGGTCGTTATTTCCGTAAAATAACAAATACGGCGTTTTACAACATAACCTTAAAACTATTCTTGATTCGACAAATTCTCCAATAAACCACGATATTCTCTTATAAAAAGAAAGAGCATTAGTTAAGACAGTTGAGTTTTCTAAATATCTTTGAGAATTTGAAAAAAATGATATGCGATTCTCCGATAACACACGAAATTCTTTTATGAAAAGAAAATTTTCTAAATATCCTAGGGAATTTGATTTTTTTCCTCTCCAAACATTATTAAATTTTCCGGAAAGTGGAGAATCCATTGGCAACACTGCATAAAACAAGAAAGTACAAACAAGCTTTATGACAACTGGCACGTGTCACTCTTAAACAGTAAGCCAATGAAATGGAGTGTAGTAGAATGTCAAATTCTAGTCTTCTCAAGTCTCTGTTTTGCATTAATTCTTGTGATGTAGACTGCTGAATATCTTTGGTGGTCGTCATAATGGTCTTTAGCATTCTATTGCCTTTTGGTACAACTCACTCTTGTCAGGTTTCATTCATTCCGTTGTGGATCATAAAACTAAACTGTACACTTGATTGACCGTTATTTGCATAAAATAACAGATCGGCGTTTTACAACATAACCTTAAAACTATCATGGAACATGTAAGAACAAGAACGATTTTTGATAATGATAATTGACAAGTGTCGCCCTTAGACAGTAATATCAATAGCTCCATTCGCTCTATTTATTAAGTCCAATCGATTAGTGACAGTTCAGCACGTTTAAGTAACAGTTGAAAAATCTAAAAAATTCTGCCAGCTTCCCTCTAATTCCTGACTAACCGAACCCTCCTAGAGTGAATGTTGTTAATAGGACTAGGTGGGACTGTATGGGTGCAAACATTTTTATTCATGTTTTGGTCTTCTTACAGTGTTTGGAATAAGTTAAAACTGCAGTCAAGTTACAACTTCACTATTAACAGACTGGAGTTTTAATTCAAATATCTACCACGCAAGAAGCCCAAAACCAGAAAATTCAATAGTAAGGTGTAAGAACCATAAAAAAACAGGAAAGATATTCCTATAAATTGTGTTATAATCAAGAATTGCCATTTTCATTGTTCATTTCACTAAGAAGTATTTATAATAACCATTTTCTGTTTCAAACTATTGTTTGTTTAGTTCACAATCTGATGGATCAGGATTAAAATAGAAAATGGTTATTATAATTACTCCTAAGTGAGATGAAAAGTAAAATGGCTGCGCCCATAGTCGTATCCAAATCCCATTGATAGGCGATCATCAACCTGGTATGACAAGTTACGTGAAATTGGCCCGTGGTAGAAACAATAATCTCCACGTCGCTCTACTTCTTTGACTATGCCTCATACTGGCGCAAAAAAATAGAATACCAAACTTTTCGTCTCTGTCTTCCTTCTAGTTACAATATCGTCTAAGTTACATGCTTTTTTCTCACATACCATACCTATAAAGGTCCTCTTATACTTGTAGTTCTCAGCATGCTTTTAAAAGATTCATTTATTTGTTGTTTTCTTTATTCTTCCACAAAATGTCTTAAACATCCGGAAATGGTAATAGAGGTATATTTTATATTATAACGCAATTTTAATTGACGCTGATCTGAAATCGTCAATTCATTCATTCGATAAATAATAAATAAACTACCTGAGGTCCATATTTAAGCCTCGCTTGGTTGATCGCGTCCTTGAACGACAATCGAACTTTGGGGCTAGTTAACATAAATGGTTACGGAAAAACAAAAATAAATGTCCATTATCTAGTTTGGCCCCTTTGCGATTTTGAAAAACTAAGTTGGTATCTGTGTTGCTAAAGAATCTATTACAAACAAAAAATAAATACATTTTCTTTTTTTTTTTTATTAAATATTTTCACTGGCGTATGTCATTTTTAAATATAGAATTGATTTTACGAACTTTCAAGTTAATTATTAATAATTATTTTACAAATAACAGCTAGTTAAATTCATTTATAGATTTTTTTTTTCATAAATATAAATGTACAACAAAAGAATTTTTCAATATTGTTAATATTAACGTATTTTATATTGTTACTAACTGAACTGAAACTTACGGAAGCGTAAAAGGGTCACTAAATATTTTTTTATTACTTTTCCAAATTAGAACTCGAAAAACTTAATTTTTCTGACTTAAAACTCGGAAAATAGATTATTCCTAATTACAACTCGGAAAAATAGATTTTTCAGACTTAGAACTCTGAAAAATCTATTTTTCTGACTTAGAACTCGGAAAAATAGATTATTCCGGCCTATAATTCGACAAAAAAGATTATTCCAACTTAAAACTCGGAAAAATAGATTATTCCGGCTTATAATTCGGCAGAAAAGATTATTCCAACTTAAAACTCGGAAAAATGATTATTCCGACTTACAACTCGAAAAAACAATTTTTCTGACTTAGAATTCGGAAAAATAGATTATTCTAACTTAGAAATAGAAAAAAATCGATTTTTCTGACTTAAAACTCGGAAAAATAGATTATTCAAACTTAGAACTCGAAAAAATCGATTTTTCTGTATTAGAATTCAGAAAAATAGTATTCCAACTTACTAGCAATCTTCAAATTGGTGGCAGCGGTTTTTAAAAACCATTTTATATCGCCTTTTGATTAGGATTTACAAATTGTTTGAACAATTTACGTAAAGAGATTTGGGCCCTTTGCCCCTTAAATCTGAACATGTAAAAATATTGGCCCCTTTATTCTTGTTCCTTTTAAATTACTCAATGGAGTGCGACATTCTTTTAAAAAATATCGAACGTGTGCTGCACTTATATTCATCATCATCATCTGAATTAGGGCATGGTTCAAAGCCCACTTGTACTGAAGCTCTAGGCTTATTGTACCCCTCACAGTTTCTATCCCATCAAATTGATTTTCTTGATGAATTCAAGAATATGTCTGATGGGCGCTTTCGCGATTTCTTCAGGTTCCGGATATTGTACCCCGAAGTACCATTCCCGTTCCCATTTAAGGTTCCGGCAGTGGCATAGTATGTGAATAGGAGTTTCGTCCTCCTCTTCACATATTCTGCATAGGGAGTAATCAGATATCCCTAAGAGATTTAGGTGTCTTCTAAGGCCGCAGAGTCCCGTAAGGAGTCCTATTACGGCCTTGAGTTCGCTTCTGCTAAGGTTTAGCAGTTGATGTTGTCTGCTCGTGGATGGCCCCTCTATGAATCTTTTGGACTGTCTAAGTCCAGGAAGTTCTATCCAGAGCCTATGGTGTTCTCTTTTTATTTGTTCCTTTAACACCCATTTAACTGCGCTTATATTGAAACCAATACAGATAAAGTTACATGGACGGATAGAGAATCGCGAAAGATAAACAATAGTATATTACATTACGAGTGTGGAAAATCACTTTTCACACAAGTGATGTACAATATTTTTCCTACGACCACAAAATAATTTCATCAAAAAATGTAAAACCCGGTTATTATTATAATAATTAAAATATATTTAAAAAAAAAATATTCAACAATAATCGTATTTATTCAATTTTCATATTTTCTAAACAAAAAAAAAAAAATTAAAAAATTAAAAAAAAAAATTCTGGCCCCGCCAGGATTTGAACGCGGTCGCTCGCCAGATCTCAAATGGCAAAGTTGATAAGTTCGACACTATAACCATCTGAGCTAATAGGGCTTCCGTCAATTGAGTGATCTAATCGGTTATGTGTTTAACCAGAATAAAAAGCAAACATATCTTAGTTATTTTAAAATTATTTTAATAATCATTGTTAAAGATAAATATCTAGGATCTAATTTACAACAATTTCAATAATTTAACAATCATATCGATTTTAGTATCAATATGGACATTACATAGATCAAAATAGAAATGATGTGTTTGACATTTTGTGACAACTGCTGCGGAAAGTAGCATATTCGTACACGGGTGGAAAGTAAATTCTTATTCATACGCGTGTGATATAGGGTTTCCATAGGAATATATAGTGTGATATGTCACTTTCTTAAGTGGTCGTAGGAAAATATATTTACTCCCCCCTCTTCGTCCTCCGCGTCTAAACGGAAACTAATATAGGGCCAAAGGCCCCGCCTGAAACTATTTCAAACCGCCCAATGTCGCAGTGCCTAAAATAAGCTCTATAAGAAATACATTGCATTTCAGAAATACATACATAGTTAAACAGAAAATTCTCATAAAAATAGATTTTTCCGAGTTCTAAGTCGGAATAATCTATTTTTCCGAGATCTAGGTCAGAAAAAAATTTTTTTTCGAATTCTAAGTCAGAATAATCTATTATTGCGAATTCTAGGTCAGAAAAATTGTTTTTTTAGATTTGTAAGTCGGAATATCTATTTTTCCGAATTCTAAGTCGTAATAATCCATTTTTTCGAGTTCTAAGAGTACTAAAAACGTTTTTTCTGAGTTGTAAGTCGGAATAATCTATTTTTTCGAGTTCTAAGTAGGACTAATCTATTTTCCGGGTCCTAAATCTGACAAATCGATTTTTCCGAGTTCCTACTCGGAATAATCGCTAATTCCGATTTTTAAGTTCTCTGTGTTGGAATAATCTATTTTTCTATAGTTGTAAGTTAGAAAAATCGATTATGTCGAGATATAAGTCGAAAAAAAATAAATAAATTAGTTGCCCTTTACACCGCAGAAACTATCTGTATGAAAATGAGATAGTACGGTTAGGAACATCAAAATATTCCAAGTTTTGATTCAATTTTTCTTAGAAAATTGTCGGTTTTCCCAAAAAAAAATATTAATAGAATGAGTAGGTACATTTTACTGTTTCTCGGTAAACTGACATTTTTTACTTATTTTTCCATCTATTTCGTAAACGTTTTCAAAAAAATATCAAATATTTAATTAGTTAATGATTTGAGGAAACAGCCTCATTTATTTTAATTTACTATCATAATAACGATTCAAAATGATTAAGAAATCACCTTGCGTCTAATTCCATTTTTTCTGAATTAAGGTGAAAATGTATTGAATTTTTTATTTGTAACGTTTGTTTAAGCCCCTGTCCTACTTTGTGACGTCACGACTTAGGTAGTCTATTCAAATTTTTCTTTAGCTGCTACGCAAAATGCTTTGCTCATTATAAAAAAAAACTTTTACCGAAAAACTTCGCTATCGACTATATAAATGGTTCTTAGACTTTTACTTATAGCCTATTAAAAACGGCTCTAACTTTTTAAAAAATATCCAAATAAATATTGTAAATAACAAATTTGCAAGAAATGGAAAAACCCCCATATTTATATTTTGTTTTTGTTTATTTTAAGATTATATATTATTTAATTTGTTGTCAGTATTTAATTAATGTATCTATGTATACAGTCAGTGATAAACTTTCCTTCTTTCTATTTATACTTTTATATATAGAAGCCCAAGAAGTACTGCAAACGGTATATAAGCAGGTTTAAGTTGTACATGCTTGTTTGTTTTAATACATATTATGTTAATTATTATTTGTTTATTTTGTGCCCATATCTCGAAAAGTATTGCTGAATTCCGATAGTGACGTTCTTTTTTTCAAAACAAAGCAAATTAACCATGACAACGGCTGTCATAGTTGTCAAAACTTTAAATGTAGTTTTTTTGTCAAATTTGGATTCCTTGGTCATTTTGGTACATGATTTTAAAAAATAGCGGACATTTTTAATTGTACCCTGATCAAGTTTAGCTTTAAGTGGTAACACCTTATAGTTGCCATGTACTAACCAAACCAAAATGATTCCTGGTAATTTGTTTTGTTAATAAACAAATATAGTGTTACCAACTTTGTTTTGCCGTCACTACTATCTTGATCCATGTATTTCAAGCATTTTTGGGAAGTAAATAAAACTATTTAAAAACATAACCCTTCATTTAATGAACCATAAAACAAATATAAAAATATATTTTTAAAGGTTACTTTGGCTGTTTCCAAAGCTCAAAACAGTGCGAATACTGAAAATAATATAAAAAAAAATTAATAAACCTATTCATTTTTAAGGTTAAGTAATGTTATTACCTAATTCCTTTGTGCATAAGGTGGAAGGCTTCATTTATTTCCTCAAATTTCAAAAAATGCGAAACGAATTCATCCAATTTAAGCTTTTTGTTTAGATATTCTTCCACAAGCTTCGGCACGCTTTCACGGCTTTTCCAGCCTACAAGAGATAATTTAACAATTTCAATGACTAAATAATGCATTATTTAAAAATTATAGGCTAAAAATTAAAATTTAGTCAATAAAAATAAATTAGTTTTGAGATTTCCTCGATAAAAATTTTATTTTTAAAATTTAATCATTAAAAATTATTTTTGAAATTTACTCATTAAAAAATGCATTTAAAAAAAAATCATTAAAAATTGGTTTTAAGATTCACTCATTAAAAATTACAGTTTTAAAACTTATTCATTAAAAATTACAGATTTAAAATTTTCTTATTAAAAATTAGTTTTAAAATGTACTCATTCAGAATTAGTTTTAAATTTTACTCATTAAAAATTAGTTTTAAGATTTACTCATTAAAAATTGCATTTATTAAAAATTAGTTTTAAAATTTACTCATTCAAAATTTATTAATAAAAAGTACTCACCTCCAAAAGCAGTTCCTTTCCATACACGTCCAGTTACAAGTTGGAATGGTCTAGTCTTGATTTCCTGTCCAGCTCCAGCTACACCGACAATGGTAGATACTCCCCAACCTTTATGACACGATTCTAGCGCAGCTCTCATCGTTTCCACATTTCCAACGCATTCAAAAGTATAATCCACACCACCATCTGTTAATTCTACTAGAACTTCAGTAATGGGTTTCTCGTATTCTTTGGGATTTACGAATTCAGTGAAACCGAATTTCTTAGCTGTAAAAGTAATGGGTGGGTAGTTATTCAAAAGATGCCATTTTCTTTTAACTGGAATATAAACACATTTTAGGATTCTGGAAGGATGATTCTTTAAAAATAACCACAGTAAACTCTGTAAATCCAAAAAAAGTTAACCAAACTTACCTAACCTGTACGGCCTGAAGCAAGGTAGACTAAAAAGTAAAGCAACGCCCATTAAACAAAAAAAAATGTTAAGATCTAATAAATATACTCCAAACTCTAATTAACTTCCTGCTAGATAAAATGAAATGGTAGTAAAAAAAAATTCAGAGAAAATAGTAACGTTGCCAGGTTGCAAATTAAATTACATGAAAGACAATGAACAGGGATGCTGGGTGGGTAAAACCACATCAATAGTGATATGATAGATACCTAATGATTATAAAATATTGTTAGGGCATGGAAAATGATTAGAAATACTTAAGACTTGAACGTTGCAAAATCAAGGAATACATGTGTCAATTTTTAGGTTTTGTGGAAAAAAATTATGTTAAAAGTTAGGTTAAACAGACAAAATGGATAAATTAAATTAACAAATGAAACAATTTTCCGTATCTAATTAGTTAGAAAATATAAAAAGTAGTAAGTTCCTTCATAGTGATAAAACTTAAAAATTACCAACTTTCAGCATGAGATGAAACTGATTTGTACTATGAAAAGAAAATCAAAGTATGTGGTACTATGGCACTTCTGACAGGTTAAACATGAACTGAGAGTTTTAAAGATGTCATAGTTAGGGTAAGTAAAACATAATTTTTTTTCAGTTTGGAAACGCTACATTTCCATGGAACAGTGTTTTAATTGCGGTAGAATAGACTCCTGTTACTCTGTTCACTCAATGTCTAACTTCGGTCCATTTAAATCGTTATATAACTTTGTGACATGAAGTTAGTAATAAAGGGGTTCTGACTTACTGAACTCAGTTTCTGTGACATTTGACATAAAGAAATCGACACTGACATATATCAAATTCAGATTTAGAAATTTTTAAAAATTTAAAATATGTGGATTTTGTTGTTAAAATCGTCCTTGAAGAAGCCAAAAGTGGTTCTGAACTTATTTTTTTAAATTGGTTTCTACTGATTTTTTAAATAAATACTGAATAAATAAAAAATAATCTGGCAACACTTCTCATGTTAATTAAGACTAAAAGTACATTAAAGCTTCATCGAGGGCCACAAAGGAAGGACCTCGTAAGTCGGAAAATCAACCTTTTTCAGGTGCTGAAAAAAAGATTCACAAGTACACAATTAAAAAAATTGTAATACTTCCCCTATACAGTAGATGGAGCGAAATGTTTTAAAATATATAATAAAATATAATTTCCAGTGGAAATGTTAGTTACGAGGTCCTGCATTATGGTCCTCGCATAACAATTTATTTTCTCTTACCAACTTCAAATTTGGCTGGATTCAAATCAACACCGATTACTCTAGAAGCACCGGCTGCTTGACATCCTAAGCCAACTGCCAATCCTACTGCACCTAAACCCCAAACTGCACAAGTACTACCCTTTTCAACTTTAGCAGTATTGAGGGCAGCACCGTAACCTGTGGGAACACCACAACCCAAAAGGCAGACTTTGTCCAAAGGAGCTTTAGAATTAACCTACAAAAAAGCCAGTTAAATCTTGTTTTATTTCTCCATAATTAACAAGATTTTAATACATAAAATTTGCCTACCTTTGTCACAGAAATATCAGCAACAACAGTGTATTCACTAAAAGTGGAACATCCCATAAAATGATACAATTCTTTACCATTACATTTAAATCTTGATGTTCCATCAGGCATTTTACCTTGTCCCTGTGTTACACGGATCTTTTGGCACAAATTCGTTTTCGGGCTTTTACAAAATTTGCAATCACCACATTGTGGTACATACAATGGGATAACATGGTCACCTATAATAAAAATATAACAATTAATTGATTAATTAATTAATTAATAGATTAATTGATAGTTATTTTTCAAATAAACGTATAATATTGAATGTCTAGTTTGAGCTCTTTTTGATTATGGAAAAACCAAGCATAGGTACTTATAGGTATTGCTATTGTAAATAAAAAACCTAAGTTCCCATATCTTGTGCAAATGAAATGTCAAAGAAGGCAGCAGAGCACCTTGGCAATTTTTTATATTATATTTATATTTTTTATACCCTATTCAAAACCTCGGTTTTTTAAAGCTTTTATCTAAAAACAACCACGCCACATTTTTAGGCTCTTGTAATATTATAAAACGTAATTTATAAATAATACAGGGTGCTTTGTTGGAACAAAGTCAGCATAGTACCTCAGTTTTTAAAGCCTTTTCTAAAAACAACCACACCACATTTTTATGCTAATTTTAGGCTCTTGAAATATTATAAACTTTACTAAAAAAATGCTCGATTTAACTATTTTTTTTTTCTGAAACTTATACAATATGTCTTACTAAGTTGGAACCAAATGGAAAAATATTTTATTATTTTTTATAAATAAAAAGTTCCTTGGTTTTTCGGTCAAATAGTTATAATTTTTTTTATATTTTAAGCATTACATATGTTTCAGAAAATACAAGTTTTCTATTTTCTGGTGCAGTCAATTTATAAAAAGTATGGGGACGAATACAAACAGTTTAAAATAATAGAACCCCATTTTCTATTTCACATCGTGTGCAAGTGCATTCGAAATAATAATTTTTAAAATTTTTTAAACTGTATTCGTCCCCATACTTTTTATAAATTGACTGCACCAGAAGATAGAAAAAGTGTATTTTCCGAAACATATGTAGTGCTTAAAATATAAAAAAATTAAAACTATTTGACAGAAAAACCAAGGAAATGTATCTTTTTTATTATTGGTTTTGTGAAAAAATGTATCTTGATAAAAAGTTCTGCATGGTTCAAAACTTAAAATGCAACCATTTTTTAAAACCGTATACGAGGTTTGTCAAAAAATATGATTTTTGCTGAAGAGTAAAATACCTTTATTTTTGAAAAACCTCATATTTATACGACTGATAAAGTTTGATATCTGATGGTTGTATTTTAAGTTTTAGACCATGCTCGACTTTTTATGAAGAATAACTTTTTTCCTAATATTAATAATAAAAAAGTTTTTCATATGCCACCAACTGTCTACGTAAGTTGATTCTTTTTAGGAAAAACCTTTTTAAAAACGGAGTTGCTCTGCTGGCTTCATTCGAACAAAGCACCATGTAATAAAAAAAAGTAGCAATTTTTTAAAAAAGTTGTGTCACTGTTTTTGGAAAAAAACTTTAAAAACTGAGGTGCTTTCTGTGTTGGGAAATTACCGTATTTTATTTTTCGTTAGGAATGTTCGCGAATTTACGAGAATTTTGGGTAAACAATTGGCGTCATTAAAAGTTATCACTTTTGTGAAGAATTTATGATTACATAAAATTTTATAAAAACTCAAATGGGTGATGCATCAGGTTCAATAACAACAAAGAATAAAAACATAAATATTCAACACAACATTATAATAACGAAATATTTTAAATATTTTTAAGAAAACCAATAAGTAAAAAAAAGAACTAAAAAAACACCCGTTATTCTAAATCATAAAAACATAAAGAATAAACACATTTACAAAACCTTTCGGAATTCCGAACATAGAACATTAAAAACAAATACTAAATTCTAATTTGGAATTTCTTCCATTTCCAAATCCGAAAAATATTCTGGACCATCAGAAAAGTTGGTGTCATGATCATGAAGAGAGTAGTCTTCATCCAGTTCAGAATCAAATCTTTCACTACCAGTTCTTCCACTATCTTTTATTTTTATAGTATAGGTTGTATTGCTTATTTGTGGGTTAAGACTTTGACATTAGATGAACCAGTCTCAGCTATATCTTGGACAAGAAACCAGAAACGGCCAAACACATACTGTGCGAATGTGAAGCTCTAGATCACAAAAGGCAGGCTCTTTTTGGACAACCCCAGTTTGATCCAACAACGTATAGAACCCACTCACCCAAGGATCTGTACAAACTTGTACAAGGTACAAAGGTGACAGAGTGGGTGCTATGAACTAACATGGGGTAAAACACAATAAGCCAATAGGCTTCAGTGTTATTCGGAGACATAGTCAGACGAGCCCAGGAGAAAAAAAATATCTTGGATGGTTTTTGCAACTGGTTCATTAATATTCAAAAGCTTCAAATTATTGACAATAAATAATATTTTGCCAACCCTTTTTGTGGGTAATTTGTTTCTCTTTCCACAATGAATAAAGGAGAACACACTGAAAGATCGCTCAGTTGCAGCATTTGTAGCAGGCATTTCCAATATGACAGTGGCTATATCTTTTAAATTTGTTTTGCAGCAAACCCCTGTCCACCAAGAAATACTGTCGGTTTTTTGCTATCTTCCAAACAAAAGGTAACAGCAATAAATTGTTTTTGTCAAAAAACTAATTAGAAATCAAATCCTTATTTTCTTGAAATTTTGGATGTACCTACTAATAATATTTTATCTATAAATTCCATAGCTTGAATAAGTTTATCATTACTTGAGAGCCACAGTATTTGGGATCCAATAAATAAGTGGCCAAATGCAATGGTTTAGGCATCATCTTTTTTTCAATTTTTTATATGTTTATTCAATAAAATTATTAACCAGCCTCCAATAACGTCACACTAGTAAGGTCAGTTTTGTAAGATGAAATCTTGAAAAAAACGATAAATTCTATACTTCTACAGCATTATATAACAATTTGATGATGGTCATCTAGCAACACTGGTGATGAAGCAGTCATGTATAACAGGGACAGAAGTTAGAAAGGCTTTTGCCTGTTCTCCCACTTCATACACAGGATTTGATAGTGGCTAACCGAAGTGGCGAAACATTGGCGTAGAAAATAATTTTATAGATGCTAATAAAAATTTCAGGTAAATAGTTTAATAAATTGTGAATAGCTGTTGAAATTTTGTAGAATTATGATTTGGGGTATTTAAATATACGTTTAATAATTTACAAAGTTTGGTATTATTTTTATTCTATGAGACGACTATGTTGAACAAACATTACTGTGAAATTCTCACAGTCGTCTGAAGGAGTTTGATGTTTACCACCTCTGTACCTACCAATAGCCTTTCCAATTTCTGTCCCTGCTAAAGAAGCATTCTCATAAGTTAGAGAGTACATATCCTGAGCGAAGCGTGCGCAAAGTCCACATCCGATAAAACATTGTCATATCATCAAACAAAATTGTTTGGTGACGTTCGTTATATAAATTCTCGGTAATTTTCTGATAAATTATCCTCAACCTTCTCCTATAATTTCCCCAAATGAGAAATATCGCTTTAACGAGAATGAACTTTACCGTAAATTACGGAATTTATGGGAACGTTCATTTGGTAAAGTTCGCTAATCACAACACTAGGTGCTCTGCTGACTTCGTTCAAAGCTAGTAGAGCAACTTGATTTTGCAAAAAATCGAGCAATTTCATTAAGGCGAAATTGTCTTAACCCTACTGTTTGAATTAACAGAATAGACGTTCGCTATTCTTGTATAAATATAGATCATTAGGCAGTCGAGAGATTCTTGATGATTTTTCTGTTTTTACGGACTTATTCAGATAAGAATGTGTGTTATCCCGTCTAAATATTACGAGAAAATTATGGCACAAAGCATAATTTTTTCGAAAAAAAAAATATATATTTAGGGGTGCGTTTTAACCTATGACGCCGGAGTTTTAGAAAACTAAAAATTTTTAGGGAATGTAGTTGTGAGGTACCTGATTAACTCCCACTAGTCAGAATGTGGCACAAAGCGCCGTTTCCTTGTAAAAAAATAATAATCTTTTAGGGGTGCTTTTTAATCTGACGCCGGGGTTTTAGAAAACAGCCATTTTCAGTAAAATTAGTCCCAAGTAGAAGATTAAATCTCAAATAACCAGAATATGGCATAAGGCCTAATTTTCTCTTAAAAAAATAATACATATTTAGGGATGCGTTTTAACCTATGACGCCGGGGTTTTAGAAAACTGAAATTTTTAGGGGATGTAGTCGTGATGTACCTGATTAACTCCCACTTACTCAGAATGTGGCACAAAGCGCCGTTTCCTTGTAAATAATAATAATCTTTTAGGGGTGCTTTTTAACCTATGACGCCAAGATTTTAGAAAACTGATATTTTTAGAGAAAATAGTCGTCAAGTAGCATAATAAATCCCAAATAACCACAATATGGCTCAACGCATAATTTTCTAGTAAAAAAATAATACATATTTAGAGGTGCGTTTTAACCTATGACGCCGGAGTTTTAGAAAAGTGAAATTGTTAGGGAATGTAGTCGTGAGGTACCTGATTAACTTCCACTTAGTCAGAATGTGGCACAAAGCGCCGTTTCCTTTTAAAAAAATAATAATGTTTTAGGGGTGCTTTTTAATCTATGACGCCGGGGTTTTAGAAAACAGCCATTTTCAGTAAAATTAGTCCCAAGTAGAAGATTAAATCTCAAATAACCAGAGTATGGCACAACGCCTAATTTTCTCTTAAAAAAATAATACCTATTTTAGGGGTGCGTTTTAACCTATGACGCCGGGGTTTTAGAAAACTGAAATTTTTAGGGGATGTAGTCGTGATGTATCTTATTAAATCCCACTTAGTCAGAATGTGGCACAAAGCGCTGTTTCCTTGTAAAAAAATAATAATCTTTTAGGGGTGCTTTTTAATCTATGTAGCTGGGGTTTTAGAAAACAGCCATTTTCAGTAAAATTAGTCCCAAGTAGAATATTAAATCTCAAATAACCAGAATATGACACAACACCTAATTTTCTCTTAAAAAAATAATACATATTTAGGGGTGTGTTTTAACGTATGACGCCGGAGTTTTAGAAAACTGAAATTTTTAGGGGATGTAGTCGTGATGTACCTGATTAACTCCCACTTACTCAGAATGTGGCACAAAGCGCTGTTTCCTTGTAAAAAAATAATAATCTTTTAGGGGTGCTTTTTAATCTCTGAGCCGGGGTTTTAGAAAACCGCTATTTTTAAGAAAAGTAGTCCTTAAGTAGTAGATTAAATCCCACATAACCAGAATGTGGTACAAAGCATCATTTTCTCGTAAAAAATAATTCTCTCGTCTATATTACCTATAGGTCTTAAAAATCCTCACAGGCAGAATATATGTGATACAAAACGCTGTAGTTACGTAAAATTATATAGATATATTCTTATGTTCAATTTATTTAATCTCATTGCATATTATTATAAATTTTTCTTGTTGTCTTCCCTATTAACGAGAAAAAGAAAGAAAAGTATCTAAATGAAAAATTGCAACTACTCAAAGTATTGATGAATTTAAGCAGTGTAAACTTGTCTTTGTGGAGGGGGTAAGCGCTGATATTGGGCGCCAGCGCCGGGCGCTAACTTCACACAAGTGTAGGTTTCAACTTAAAATTGCCTAGGTGCTCAGCTGCTTTCTTTGACATGCAAATGAATAATGACACAAATAATGTTTTAAATAAAAATATGCCATTTTTTCCATTAATTCTATCAATTTTATGGTAAAGAGAGTGAATAGTGGTACTGGGTGGGAAAAAACTTTCAATAGTTATATTATAAAATATTGTTGTGGTACTGGGTAGGAAAAAACAAGGTCAATAGTTATAAAATATTGTTAGGGTAAGAAAAATTATTAGAAATGAATTGCTGTACTTTTGGTACTAAATAATTGAATGGTAAACTTTGGCAACAGTGTAAGACTAGTAAGACATAAAAGTAGCATCTCTGAGCTTTGATTTGAGGCAACTTGTGAAATATTTTTATTAAAAAAAATAATTGTGTCATTAATTTGCACAAGATATGGAACTAATTTTTTTTTGTTTAGAATAGTGATACCTACAATTATATATGCTTAGTTTTTTATAAGCGAAAAGAGCTCAAACTAGACATTGGCCAATTATTGAGGTTAGAACCTGGTTGAACATTGGTAACTCCCTGGCCCACGCTTTCGACGATACCGGCCCCCTCGTGTCCTAGTACGACTGGAAAAAGACCCTCAGGATCTTGTCCACTAAGTGTATAGGCATCAGTGTGGCACACAGCAGTATACAATATTTTAATTCTAACTTCATGGGCTTTTGGTGGATCTACTTCTATTGTTTCTAATTTTAGATCTTCCTTTGGGCCCCACGCGACTGCTGCGGTGCATTTTATCACCTGTAATTAAATGCAGTTATAACAGCAACAAGTTGTTTAAAATAAAAACTTACTTTGCCTGCAGTACTCATTTTTTTATTATTTCAAAGGGATTTATGTTTCTCGCTGGTAAATCTGTAAAACTGACGTGTACTGCAGATGTGCTGTTATAATCTTATAAAATATCACTGATATCAGCACAAAATATGCTTCATCAGCAATAAAAATCTTACTTTATCATGAATTTTTTATTCGGCCTTGATTAAAGTGACCTTTGGGATTTGATCACATTTGATCATATGACAATTGACAATGATGACTTAGGTGCAGCAGTGTTGCCAGGTCACTCGGTTCCAAATATCTAGACAGCAATAAAAAAATCTTATTTTATCGTGTCTTTATTTTATTATCTTAAGGTCATCAACTGTTTTATCGTTTATATTTAAATCAATGAAAAATTACTATTTAAAATTGATACATGGTGATTAATTCAAAAACATATATTAGTTTTCGTATAAAAAAGATAAAATTAAAGAAATGAAAACACATTGTTTTAAACAACATTGCAAGCTCCTATCATTGCGTTCGGTTTGCCACGTTCCTTTAACTCCTTTAACACTTTTAACTCCAAACGACTCTTTTAGCGTTCGGTTTAGTCCGATTAGTGACAGTTTAACACGCTTAAATGTCATTTAAAAGCACCCTAAAATTTGTCCCGCTCCAGCCCCTGACTGACCGAACTCGCCTTATGAATATATTTATGTGCGAGTTCGGGCAAAGAGTATCTTCGGGAACAAAGGTGAGTCGCAACGAACGTACGCGAGCTTTTCCAGTACACCGAAACAACAGCAAAGAGTGACAGAGTACTATAATGACCAGAGTAACAGAGAGCGCACTATCAGCGCAGATTACCACGGGATACGGTGCACGGAATCAATGTGAGAAAATCGGAACTTTCTCCAAGGATTCTTTAAAAGCATTGGCAACATTGTAAAATAGCATAAAAACATGTGGATAAGTGAAAAACATAACCTAATAAATAGGTAAATGGGTTTTAAGTTTTAAAACATGGTAAAAATGCAATTAATAAAGTCAAATTTTAATATTAAACATATAGAAGAATGTCTAATGACTGAAAATAAATTTATAACCGATATACTGAAGCGGTCTTGTATACCCGAACGTAAAGGTACTGAACATATTTTTCTTTAATGGATTTTTATTTTATTCTATATTCTATTTACTTACAGAATTCGAAAATAGTGACAATGAAGAGGATAGGAATGATGAAGAGAAAGTACCTTTTAATACACATTTAAACAAAAAACAAAGAGCAAAATCTTTATTTGAATTACAACAACGTTTAAATGCTGTTAAAGGTAAGAAAAAACAAACCTATAAGGAGAAGTTGACCAAGAAAGGTTTAAAAAATCGATTAAAAAAGAAAACTCAACAAGATCAGAGAAATGCAGACAAAAAACTAGAGAGAGCTGCTATACTATCTACAAAAACGGTTAAGTCTGAAGAAAATGGAATTGATCAAAATACAAAAATCAAAGTTTTTAACAAAGAAGACAAAATAGTATTTTCAAAAATTGATTTTGATAATCCTAACAAATTCCAAAAAGGTAAACCAAAAAAAGATCCTAAAGAACTTCTCCAACAACTAGAAAAACATAAAGAAACTATTCAAAAACTAAAAGATAGTGGTGAAACAGAAAAAGTCGTTGAAATTAAAGAAAAAGTAGCTTGGAAAAACGCCCTAGCTAAAGCTGGAGGAGAAAAAATTAAAGACGATCCAATTCTGCTCAAGAAAAGTGTAAAGAAAAAGGAACAAAAACAGAGATCCAGCAAGAAAAAATGGGAACAGAGAAACAAAAATGTAGAAACGGCTAAAAATGAAAAGCAAGCGAAGAGAAATGAAAACTTGATGAAAAGGAAAAAAGATAAGAATACTAAGAAAATGAAGAAAGCAGTTAAAAAAGGAAAAGTTATAGCAGGATATTAAATTTTGAAACTATTGTTAGTTGTTCGATTTTTTTTTTAATAATAAATAAAAAAAGTTTTTTAATATTAATTTTTAGCTCGAAATTAATAATATTTGAAGGGTATTTGTAGTCTGCTAAAGAAATAACTTTCTTAAATAGTTATAGATAGGATCTGATTCCAATAAGATGAACACAGGTACGTCATCAATTGGCAGATTAATTTGTTAGCTATCACAGTCTACTGGGGGTTTAGTTTATTAAAATGTAGGAATAATATTTTTAAATTAAATAACTCTCATATTATTTATTTATTGATAGTTATAGATGATATATTGGAAATTATATTTCCAATACATGACTTTCCTGTAGTTATCAAAAATATTGAGAATCAAGAAATAAATAATAATACCAGAACCACATACTTAATTCCAAGGTTGGAGAAAACCTTAGAATTTAAAAATATATAAAAGTAGGTTTTTTAAGGTTTTTAGTTCCCAAAAAAAACTATATCAAGAAGTTCAAAGTTCCAGTGATAATCTTTGATAAAATATTTGCATTTGTTTTTATATACATACAAGTAATTTTTGCATCTTTTCTACTGAGAATTGATTAAGAACTTAAATTGTGAATACTAATTATTTATCATAAAAATCTGATGTTTCCAACAGGGCATAACTTTTTGTACAATTTATTGTTGTATTACCCCTGTAAAGGTTTAGAGGATGAAATAAATACATACCTACATTTTCCATACACATCTTATACGAAATATTTTACTGAAACTTTACACTTTTACTCAAATTTTTCCATTATGGTTAATTATAGAGAATGATATCATAAACAACTTTTATTTGAAGATTTTTCTTCTCCAATTGTAAATAACAGATATTATAGTAAAAAAACGACTTCCTATATAAAGAAACCCCTCCATCCAGATGCTTCAAATATTGCCATACCATTTTAGGAAAATATTCCTACTACGTCCAAATTCTAATCAGCTCACTACAAGATGGATTAAAATTTAGTCTTTTTATCTTTATCCGTTCATGAGTTCTCGAGTATACAGACACTCAAACATCATCACGAAATAGGGATGTCACCTGTAGAGTTTTCACCTGAACTGTCCCCTTTTTACTTTCCTACATGGAGGACTTTCATATCTGCATACAGATATAAGATGGATATAAGGAAAGTATATAGGAATCACAAGTTTGTCCGGTGTCAGGTCGCATGATGAAAGAGTGTCCGAAAATAACTAGGTACACGAGAGATTTGAGAAGTTAGTACCGCCAAATGCGAATTTTTATAAAACGAAGTTGGCATTCGTTTGTCAACGATTTGTCCATGTTTTTCCAACAAAAAATTTCGTCTGCCACTCTTCAAAAAAGTGACAAAATTAAAAATTTGAGCCAAATTTAACATCAGCACCGCCATAAAAACTTTTTATTAATTTCAAAGTGGCATTTGATTGTCCATGATTTGTCCACCATTGTCCTACCAAAGGTTCCGTTTGTCCACCCGTCAAAACAGAAATATTTAAAAAATAATAAAAAGCCTAATCCTTAGGGACAACCCTAATACATTGCATTCGAAATAAATACGGCAATCGTTTGTCCACTCATTATTTTCGTTTGTCCACCCAACGGAAATTATAAGTGTAACCTACCTCACTCAGGTACCTTCATAATTTATTAATTCCATTTTATTAAAGAAAAGTTACATTCTTATTAAATTCAAATTTCTACATTTGACGAAAAATCTTCGTTATAAAAAAAGCAATATTTCTGTTCGCGGTGTCTCTAATATTACAGAAAAGATAAAAAGTTATTCCATTAGAATCCGATCCAAAAACCTCCATAAACATGTTTCTTGTCACGAAGTAATCATTAGAACACTTAATTGGCTTATCTTTCTAATAACGAAGACCGATTTTTGACAATATTTCGGTACAAAATTCCTAGAAGTTCTTAAGGCACATAATAAATTTTCCACCCATTTTTCCTCCTAAAATTCGTTTCCAGCGGAGCTACAGAAAACTGACTACAAAAATCCATTAAAACGGGTATAAAGACCCGAACCCAAGGAGTTCGTTATTCATTTCATTATGATTTTATATAAAATTCAGATTATTATTTTATATTCAGTATTCAGTACCTTTCCAAAATCGACGCTCTTCTTAGCCGACGTCTATCCTACGGTTATGTGAGCCATTTCATTATTCAGTCATGCTCTAATCCTCTCCAAGTCCCTCTCTGTCTTATTTGGCCTTTGAGGCTCAACTTTTCCGATTATCATACATAATTAAACCCCTTTTAAGACCAAACATATGTGACGACTATGGCGGAGGCACTATAAATATTGGCGGAAGATCAACAAAAGTCATTAGTAGATATAGACAGTGATATATAGACAGCTGAGAATAAAGTATTGGACTATGAATATAAATAGTGAACGATTCAAAGATATTCGAAATATATATATAAACTAGAATAGTATTGTTATAAAATGAGTGTTTAAATAAATTATTAATAAATAAACTGTTGTTTTAAAATAAACTGTTGTTTTAAAATAAACAAACATCACAATACAATACCTCTAATCCCCCGAACGCTGTCAACGACGTCCCACGCCTTGTTTCCAGACGCTTGTTGTCCCTAAATATGTCCTTCATGATATCCTTGACGACACCCTTTGTCGTGCAGCACCACCAAGTATTTTCTACCGTATATCTGTCCCGACGCAGTACCGAAATAAATACCTTCCTCTACACCAGGACGCTAGGCGCCTCGACGCAAGGCGTCGCTCAACGCTGCGATGTACCTAAATCGACGCCGTCACAACGCTAGATACAATTAGTACATAATGTCTAGTATAGACGAATCTATAATGTCTGTATTTTCAATGGTGAGTCAGAAGATTTATATGTAACTTTATTTGAGGGGCCACCGGGGTTTCGTTTGAATAAGGGCCTGACATTTTCTTCAAAATATTATCAATAATGTAACCAATAAACCACATGGCTTACGGGCATTCACGCCGAAAGACAGTTTAGGATAGACATCTGCTTTTTGATGGGTAAATTTGAGTATTTCAATAGAAATAATAAAAATCCACATGGGAGGGTGTCGTGGTTATAAGCCCTGTTTGACATTAGTATAGAATTATGTAAAATATTTTTTTGTATATGTAATATTATTATTTGCAATAAATTGAATTGAGTTGAATTGAATACAGGAATGAATTATCTTGGATAAATTATACAATCCGAGCTGGTAAAATTTATAAATTGTTATAACAATAAGTTAACCAACTGGTGAATGGACACTGTTCGTTAGCTCAAGGGGGAGCACCTTATACTAAGCCACCCATTCTACTAGGTTTGATACAATAAAGTACAACCTGTGTATATCTAGATTATAATCAAGCTACATAAAAACTATAAACATCAACACAGCAGTTAACCAACTGGCGAATTGACGCTGTTCGTTAACTCCGTTGGTAATCAACCTAAATAAAATATATCTTGATAGCAAATGAACGTGGTCTGCATTTGAACAGGACTCAAGGGAGATATCCACTAAATAGTTCATACTAATTGTGTAATATACTTTGCTAATTATTGCATCACATTTAAAGTATGAAAAATAAAAGAGTTTAAATATAAATTTGTCTGGTTTTATTTACCAATTTGCACCAAACTCTGCATCGACTCCTAGTTTACCTTAATTAACATTAGCCCAACAATATGGGTATATAAATTATCAATTAAGTAACTAGACGAGATCATTTCTACTACTAGGGGAAAAAGGCAAAATACCAGTAAATATTGAGTTTAAAGTAAAATAAAATTAAGAGGTAAATAATAAAGATTTCAGACTTAAGAACAACGATCAAAATGGGGTACCGGGGGGAGGGCCGTTACACAAGTTATAATAAATAATTAAGTAACTCAAAATATAAATGTATAATGTATAAGTTCCTCTGACAATTTATTAAAACTAACTACTGCAATCGTTTGTACACATTTGTTTTGTTTGTCCAGGCCTTGTTTTCGTTTGTCCGCCCAACGGAAATTAGTTATTAACAAATAAAAGACTCAAAATATTATTTATTATAATTATTTATACAAGTAATTCTAATGGCAATTTATTAAAACTAACTATAGGTACTGTAATCGTTTATGTCTACACATTATTTTCGTTTGTCCAAAATTATTTTCGTTTATCCAGGCCTTATTTTCGTTTGTCCACACAACGGAAATTAGTTTTTAACAAAGGAACTCAAAATATGAACAATTATTAATAAAATTACTTTTAATTGCTGTTTAAATTAAAACTACTGAAGCCGCTTGTACACATATAATGTTAGTTTGTCCAAACTTTATTTTCTTTTTTCCACCCAGAGCCGACGAGAGGGGCGGGTAGCTGGGACCAATTCGCCGACCTCGGCAGCTTATTTAGGCGAGGACGTTTTTTATTTTTTTAGAAGTTTGCCACAAGAGCAGAAGAGGGAGGACCTTTTCTTTTTTTTTTTAGAGAATTCACTCAAAAGAAGAAGTTCTTGCTTGAGGACCTTTTTTTTTTAGAAATGTGATCTTGAAAGGACTTGATGTTTTTATAAAATTGTCGCGGGGCCCGACTTGGAAAATTGTCCCGGGGCTCGACCTGGAAAATTGTCCCGGGGCCCGACCTGGCTCTCGGCGGCCGTGTTTTCACCCAACGGAAATTAGTTATTAACAAATGAACAACTCAAGATGTTAAATTTGGCTCGAATATTTAATTTTGTTATTACCTTGTTTTGAAGTGTGGGCAAACGAAAATTTTTGTTAGACAAACGTGGACAAACAAAACGAAAATATTACATGCACTAACGGTCGAAGCAAGTTTATTAAAACTTACATTAATAATTATTAATGTTAAAACTTACATTAATAATTATATTATTGTAAGTTTTCCAAATGACAATTTATTAAAACTAACTACTTATACTTACTGCAATCTTTTGTTTGTCTGTCCACGTT